TATCTATTTACGGAGTGTCTTGGTGTGATTCGGTCTATTATTGAAGTAGAAGAGAACAACGGCATAGAGGCGTTTTACTTATTAGGAGATTATAATGCGCATCCTAATGAACTGTTTTATAATGAGATGATAGATTTTTGTAAAGATCAAAATTTGGTTATGCATTGACATCTTAATGTGTAAAAAAGATACACATACTTTTTACAGTGATGCACATAGTTGTAAAAGGTGGTTGGACCATTGTATTATCACTGAATCGGCAAGGGAGGCAGTCATTAGCGTGGCTGTTCAATATGATGTTTTTTGTTCTGACCACTTACCACTTATTATAGAATGCAATCTAGACAGGCTTCAACCTAGAGTTAACGAGCCAGTACCTCATCGGGTTAATCGTGTTTTATGGGGAGATAGACGATTGCAGCAAATAAGTGCTTATCATGAACTTTGTAACTCTGGGTTGAAGCTTATCGATTTTCCGCAGGATTTGGTTGAATGTTGTGACACCTTTTGTAATAATAAAAAACACCAACTCGTTATTGACAATTTGTACTCAAATATGGTAGATATTTTATCACAAGCGGCCATGCAAACATACAGAGTTAGGTGTCCTAGAAAAGGTGGTTATGTGACGGGCTGGAATAAATATGTAGCAGAACCACACCGTGAGGCTCGGCTTAAATACCAATTATGGATTTTGGCGGGTCGACCGGTCAGTGGTTCGATTTTTAAAAGAGATGGTGGAGGCACGGAAGTATTTTAAAGATAAATTGAGATGGTGCCAAAAGAGACAGGAGCAGCTTAAAATGGATCTTTTGGCATCCAATCATAAAGATAAAAATTTTAAAGCTTTTTGGAATAACACAAAAAAATTAAATGTTAGACCCAGTCAGCCGGTGACTATTGGTGGCGTTCAGGACCATAAGCAAATTGCTGAATATTTTAGGGAAAATTTCACTGTGCAGTCACCACTGGGTCCTGCGAGGCACTTGATGAGCGGTGGTGGGGCCGTCAGAGCCGGGAGAAATCACAAAATACCTGCTAAGTTGATCGCAAAAATAATCAAAAAAATGCAGCGCGGTAAATCTCCTGGTCATGATGGTCTCAGCATCGAGCATTTCAGGTATGCGGGAGTCCATCTTCCTCGAGTCTTATCATTGTTTTTCACTCTGTGCATCGGCCATTCTTATTTACCTGCGGCGCTAATGACGACTATCGTGGTCCATTATTAAGAACAAGACAGGTGATACGTCAGATCTGAAAAACTACCGGCCCATCTCTCTGGCTACCACGGCGGCCAAGGTGCTTGACAGTGTGTTGAACGGTTTCCTAACAGAACATATCAGTATACACGATGCACAGTACGGTTTTAAAGCGGGAGTATCGACTGAGAGTGCCATTCTTAGCCTAAAGCACACTGTTAAGTACTATACGACGAGAAGAACGTCGGTGTACGCGTGCTTCCTAGACTTGACAAAGGCGTTTTGATTTAGTCGCTTATGACAGGCTCTGGGAAAAGCTAGGGAGCACGAGTGTACCGGCGGAATACATTAGCCTTCTCCAGTACTGGTATGCGAACCAGAGGAATCAGGTGAGGTGGGCCGGAGCGCTGTCTGACGAGTACAAAATGGAATGCGGTGTCAGGCAGGGCGGCTTAACCTCGCCTGTGCTTTTTTAACCTATATGTTAATGAGCTTGTAGAACGGCTAAGCAGCTCTCATGTTGGCTGTCACATCGATGGTACCTGTGTCAATAATATTAGTTACGCCGACGACATGGTGCTGCTTAGTCCATCAATAAATGGTTTGAGAACATTGCTGTCCGTTTGCGAGACGTATGCGACTGAACACGGCTTAAAATATAATGCTGCAAAGTCCGTTATTCTCGTTTTTCGGTCTCCTAAGCAGAAGCCGCGTTGTGTGCCATCAATATCTCTCAACAATGTACCATTGAGTATTATGAATAGTTTTAAGTATTTGGGTCACATTGTCACAAGCGACCTAAGGGATGATGATGATATAGACAGGGAGCGCAGGGCGTTGGCAGTGAGGAGCAATATGATTGCCCGAAGATTCGCTCGTTGTACTGCGGGTGTCAAGATTACCTTATTTAAGGCATTTTGTCACTCGTTCTACTCCAGCGGTCTTTGGGTGTCATATTCGCGCCGAACCTTCAATTCCCTGCGAGTGCAATATAACAACGCCTTCAGGATGTTGATGGGACTGTCGTGGCGCTGCAGCGCGTCTAAAATGCTTGCTGACGCCCAAACTGATGGCTTCCACGCCATTATGCGTAAAACAGCGGTCTCTTTGCTGCAGCGCCTTCGTACTAGTGGCAACAGCATTCTGAAAATGATTGCTGACAGACCTGACTGTCCTTTCCAGCAACACTGGGTGGCAGTTGCTATAGGTCTGGTAAAAATAATAATACGCAATTTCTTAATGTTTACTAATAATACTTTACTTACCTAGATTTAAGTCACAATGTTATTTACTAATACTAACAAACTATGGACAATGTACTTAATTTTGTGTATTGTCTGAAATAAAGATAATAAAGAAAGAAAGAAAGAAAATATTGTGAACATAGTGTTTTTCTAATGTCTGGGTTTTATATATCTATATTCTATAATATGTATTTATTTATAGACGGAAAATACTTTTAGTATGTTTATCAGTTACCTAGTACCTACCCATTGTGCAAGCGTTGCTTAGTTGGGACTATATAACGTTGTGTAAAAATATGTCCTGAAATATTTAACTATAACTTTAAAATCAAACTAGCGAGAATTAATCATTTGAAAACACAAGGTTCACGATAATTATTATCGGATACAATTTATTTTTGGAAAAAAAAATCGTGATTAATTACGCTCTATTAAATAACAATACCAACACCAACTTAAGCGATTTAAATGCAAACGAGGTTATCGTTATAGGCTTCGAATCGACGACATTTAAGCCCCGCCATAAATTCTTCGTTATAAGCATCCCTGTGTATTAAGCGCCCATGCAACGCGCCTTGCGTTGACATAAACAGGATATAATCTTGACAAATACATAAACAGTAATCACACTTGCGGCTGCTAATAGGTAAACCTTACGATACATTTTCCTTCCCTCTCGGAAATATAATATTGTTCACGTGCGCATAGCGAAAAGAATACAATTTGTTAGCATCAATCTTTCACGAGTGAATAACATAACTGATGTTAACGCTTTCAGTCCCGAGACTATTAAAGCTTCATCGAACGCAGTGAATAATGATTCTCTCCCCCCAACTGGGCACTAAATAGATAACGTATCAAACCAAAGTCCAGTTTTTGGTCCAAATGAATCGGATAATATCCTGTTTTCTGTCTCTAGATGTCCGCGACTTGTACGTTGTAGCATCAAACTAATTACTGAATATTAAAAATAATTAAACAATTATTTGCAACAATTTGCTTATAGTAAATAATCAGACAAATGTCTTCTATATATATATATATATATATATATATATATACACACCGTGTCTTTACCACCGCGACAATAAATGAACACACGTCGAACGCTACTTGCCAATAATAATAAAAAAATATTATCGTTAAAAAAATCCTTAATTAAAAAAAAATATTTTTTAAACCAACTAATTAAGTAAAAAAGAAACAAAATTTGTAACATCCTATACAACTAAAACTGACTGATTCATATATTCAGAGACTGTTTCATTCGTTGCAACAGCGACGCATTACAAGCCTCTTCTTCTGACAGTATGTTTTGTCTCTTTTAAATTCATTCAACCCATTCATATACTTTGTGACCATTACAAATGAACTTTACGTTACAGTTTTATACGTGAGGGTGTTATAAAATTCTTTGTTTTGAAAAATTTAATAACTTGTTAAATATTGATGTTTAAACAATGTTAATGATTAATACAATTTTAAAAAGTTATCCTCTATATGTGTTCATTTATTGTCGCGATGGTAAAGACACGCATGGTAAAGACAGAATTTATGTATGTTCACCTAAAACTCGAGAACTTTTAGCCTCATTGATATGAAACTTAGGAACTTAGGAGTAACAATAGAAAATGCTTAATAATTTGTGCAGCTTTGGGACATATTTGAAGTGTAATCTAGTTATTTGGTATTCATTATTTAATATTATATTACTCAATTTTTCGTTTCTATCTGGGCTATTATTTTTACTCTGGTATCGGCAACGCCCAGCAATTACTATGATTGCATTTCATAACGAATAAATTGTGTTAATAATTATTTGAAGATTTTTAATGCATTTTTAATTAGTCACTGTTGTAATTTGTTATCATTTAGATGTAATTATTTACAAAAGAATGTACTCAAATTGAATGTTGTTGATGATTATTAAATGAAACCATTTTTACTAATGGATTTTTAATTTTCAATTCTCAGCAAAACTATTCTACGCATATGGCGTTGTGTCAAGAATGATAGCTACTAGCACAGCTATGACATAACCGTTGAGCTCTAAACCACAACAACCATAGTTATTGCCGTAGCGTATCAGCAACAATCCAGTTATCGTCCATACTACTATATCCCGGCTTAATGGACAGACTTCCAATTAAATCACAATTCATAATACATTTAGAGTCAAGGACCTCTGCTGTATTCTATCATAATATCATTTTAGTTAACCTGGTCATGGCTTCAGGACTAGTCTTAAATTAGGGCATGGAACGCGGTCATTAAAATATTGTGTATTATTTTGGTGACCGCTACAGATTATTCAATAAATTTGGCGCCCCGAGGTAATTTTGGCAACAGAACTGTATAAATATTACGTGTATTTTATCGTATGTTTGTCTTCTTATCAACACTGAATCGTAATGATGATGATGTTTGTTTCGTTATCTTAGCACCAGCTGAGTGAGTTCATTGCACGGTTGTCGATCGTTCGTTCTATACGTTCCTCCATAATATTTATTAAAAAGAAACTAAACTAATTATCGTTTCGGTATTTTTATTGTATAAAATGACTAGGAAAGTTTTCGTGGTCGGTGTTGGGATGACGAACTTCGTCAAGCCGAATTCGGGCAAGGACTACCCGGAGATGGGCAAGGAAGCGGTGGAGGGGGCTTTGGGGGATGCCGGGATCCCTTATGAGGTCGTCCAGCAGGCGACGTGCGGCTTCGTCACTGGCGACTCGTGCTGCGGTCAACGGGTATTGTACCAGGTCGGCATGACGGGAATACCCATTTACAATGTGAACAACAACTGCTCCACCGGTTCCACTGCGCTGTTCCTAGCTAAGCAGCTCGTAGAGGGCGGTATTTGCGACGTGGCGCTCGCCGTCGGCTTCGAGAAAATGGCGCCAGGCCCGCTGGGCGGCGGCAACTACAAAGACAGGGCGAGTCCGCTGAGCAGGCACTTGGAGAAGATGGCCGAAATGGCCGAGATCAACGGCAGCCCGCTGACGGCGCAGTACTTCGGCAACGCGGCCCTCGAGCACATGAAGGTGCACGGAACCACCGTGACGCACCTAGCGAAGATCGCGGCGAAAAACCACCATCACGGGTCCCGTAACCCGAAGGCGCAGAGCGTTAAGGCTTACACCGTCGACGAAGTGTTAAGCTCCCGTCGGATCTACGGCCCGCTGACAAAGCTTGCTTGCTGCCCGACGAGCGACGGGGCAGCCGCGGCGGTGCTCATGTCCGGAGAAGCAGTCGCGAAGTACGGACTGCAGCGGAAGGCGGTGGAGATCGTCGGCATGGAAATGGCGACCGACACGCCCTTTGTCTTCAGTGAGAAGAGCATGCTGAAGGTGGTCGGTTACGACATGACAGCGCTGGCCGCCGAACGCCTGTACCGCAAGACCGGTGTGTCTCCTACGGACGTGAACGTGGTGGAGCTGCACGACTGCTTCGCGAGCAACGAGATGATAACGTACGAGGCGTTGCAACTGTGCGGCGTGGGCGAGGCGGGGAGGTTCATCGACTCCGGCGACAATACGTACGGCGGCAGGGTGGTTGTGAACCCCAGCGGCGGTCTGATAGCGAAGGGGCATCCCCTAGGGGCGACGGGGCTGGCGCAGTGCGCCGAGCTCGTTTGGCAACTGCGAGGGGAGGCGGGAGAGCGGCAGGTATGTCTTCGACATAATGAACAACTCAAACAGTCATAGACAAAGGTTCGATTCCCATTGCAGTGAAAAACTTTTCGTACATTTTTCTACAAATTTGAATGTATTGCCCAGATACACACTATAAAAAATTAAGTTTCTAATAATAATTACAGCCGTTCAGCTTAGTGGTTAAAGCGATTCCCACTGCGGCGATGATTCATCATAGGCGGAACAAACATTAATTCTTTGTGGGTTAACATTAATTTAAAAATTACACCTTTAAGAACATTAAAACAATTTTATTTACACCCTGACGTTTGTATACAGCCGGAAGATGAATTTTCTCCGTGTGTGTGAACGACAACATATTTATCTTGGTACCACTATACAAACAATATAGATTATTAAAATTTTATCCTTCGCAATGTTTATTGTAAAGTTTAATAATACGTAGGTAGGTACGTGACGGATTATTGTTTGAACATAATCTGATTCAGAAAATTGTTCAACGGTAGAATTATAAGCATCATGGTTATATCAATGAAAATAACGTTATTTATTTTGCAGTAAATAATACTGGACTATGATAAGTTGTTAAGTTACAGTTCACCCATTTCTCATTCCAGGTGCCGCGCGCTAGTCTCGCTTTGCAACATAACCTGGGCATTGGAGGTGCCGTAGTGCTGACGCTATATCGAAAAGCCTTTACAAACCCCACTTTCAATGATAATGTTGCCGCAATCGAGCAAAACCGAGAAAACGTCCCTTCCAAATTATAGAAAAAACGAGTCAACCGATTAAAATTTAATTTTGTTATTAACTGACAGAGTCGCATAATGGACAAAATACAGTTACAATAAATATGCCTTACAATCAGTGAACAATAAAACTAATGTTTTATTTGCGTTCACTGCATATTTTTTTATGTGAAAGGTTGCCAAACGAGCAGACGGTTCACCTGATGTTAAGTGAATACTGCCGCCCATGGACATCTGCTATACCAGAGGGCTACAGATGCGTTGACAACCTTTTGAAAATTGGGCTCCGGCCACCTCATAATAAGTTACTGCGGACAACAACAGATGTTTTTGCCTAATTTATCAATGAATACATATTATGATTTTTGATTGAAACATACTTTTATTAAAATGAATTACGATGTTTGATCCTTAGGCCAAGTATCAGTTTATATTTTTAACTTAATCGAATATATTATTTGCAAACTTCTTCCTTTCTATATAAAAAATCATCCTTTAAAATATTCTTATTAGATGGAATTGCTTGAACTTTTGTTGTGTACATATTTTGAGTAAGTTATATATACACAAGATTTGTTGTAAGAAAGAAAAAAGTTTTTTTTATGTGACAAGTTGCCAAACGAGCAAGGTGAAACCATCTCACCTGATGCTAAGTTAATATCGCCGCCCATGGACATCTGCTACACCGGGTTCCAGATGCGTTGACAACCTTTTGAACATTGGACTCCGGCTACCTCACTCACCAGACAAAACGCAAAGTATTATACTTCCACTTCACGCCGGTCTTCTGTGAGGTCGTGGTACTTACCCGGACGAGCCTGCCCATTAGTGCAACAGCCGAGGCTGTTGCGTTCGTTGCTTTTTCGTTTGTTCGTTTTGTATGGACGTTTTGCAAGGACAATTTCAGAAATTGAGTGATTATTTTGAAAATCTGTCAGTTAAAATGTTAATAAATCATTTTTTTTTCATATCACATACTTATTTTATCTTTTATCAACTAGTAAACGCTTAAAATTTGGCGAAATATGTCTCAACTTGCATTTTCTTGCAAGACATAAGAAGTATTTGTACCTTCAACTTGTTATTAACCAGGTGCATATGTACCTAGTGTATCATAAATGCTCAAGTTTTATCAACGAAATGATTATGAAATGTTTAAATACATAGGGGACAATGATAAAAATAATTGAGCACGAACATTAATATATTTCATTAGCATTGTCACTTTCGGAATCAGGCATTTAGCTGCTGTTTTGGATTGCAAGTTGACAACACTTGAAACCTAAAATCTTCGTATTTAATATTAAAGTATAATATAGTAATTATACATGTATTAACACGAAAGATGAGTTAACGGGTAGGGTATGCCTAATAATACACAAGCCCCCTTCTCTTTATAATACTTAATTGGTTATTGCAAAAAAAGTTCCTACATGAAGTGTCTCCGATGTCACACAATGCATTTGCCCTCGTTGATCTTTGTACTGAAACTTAGATAAGAATGGACGAGTACATCAATGCACTAGAATATTCTGAGTTAGTGGTAAATGTAGCTTTCATAATAAATTGCACACAATTTTTTTTTGAATTTTGTAACGCAGTAGTTTTTACGAAATAGGAGGGTAGCAACACAGCATAAAGTATTTAAATTTAGCCTCAATGCCTTATTAATTGTTGTGGTATTTAATGGCTCTCGTATCGTTATATGTTATAAGTAGATAAGAAAATGAAATGTAGAAGTTTTTTTACTCTTACCTTATTCTCTAGAATTTCTGAAATAAACGAACAAAGTTCACGCAATTCTGGAGTGAGAACTTCTTAATTTGCAAAGAGTGAATTGTGTCTTGTTTTGTTCCTAAACAATATCGTCAATACACGACGTTGTTTTCAAACTATTAGATCAGGTTCGTACCTTACCGATAAGACTACACATATGTTAAAGAAACTTGTCTTAATTCCTTAGTTAATTCCTGTATGGATAGTCGGCCATAAAGTCAATATAGATTTAACTTTATTCATTTGGGAAAATTTCGAAATTCAATTTCTTTTTAATTTCTAAAAATCGAAAAATTTCTCTACATAGAAAAAATGCGATATTTCCCAAAGATGTTGAAATAGATCGCTCGTGTGAATAGTACATACATATGTTGTAAGTACATTAATTGTAACGCGTATAAAAAATCTTTGAAAAAATTTGTCAACATTATGCTAGGAAACATCTACATCTACATCTCACGTCTGTTTAGTTCAATAACAGGGTTCATAAAATTCACCACAACTGTGAGCTCTGTCCCATTTCTAAAATGAGTTGATGAACAATAACATTTGCAAAAAGAAAAAAGTACAAAAAATTTTTCGCCGCTATGGTAATTGAACCAACGTCATCGGGGTTTGCGCCCTGACGCTTTAGCCATTAATCTAAACGGCTGATTGCCGCACCAAAGAAGAAATTGACTTCATGGAGCTGATATAAAGCCTTACGTATAGAAAACGGACGGAGAACGGTTTTAACAACTTGGAGCCAAAAAAAGACAATGGTGTGGGCTGGAACATCATCAACATCGTACGGTGTTAAGCATATATATGCTGCAAGAAATGAGTTCTCGAATAACATAAAAATTTAAATTCTGCATTCAAAAATATTAGACCACTCTGCTGGAAATAAATAGTTTTTTCATTAATCAAATAAACAACAGATTAAGCAAACTAAAACTCGACCTCTACAAAAATAGAGCAACGCCCCAGAATTCTCCTGTCTTTTTTTTATAATTCTTAGAGATTTCCTCACGACATCTGCATATAAGGTTAACAATTATGTTTTGTTATATAAACAGTCACAACGTTGCGTGACACACCCTACGGTTACGTTTGATATTCTTTCTTTGTGAGCTCAATATCTGTTTGCCGCCAGTTTATTTTATTTAACAATCTTACAGTTATTCAATTTTAGTGGCGAAGTCAAATTCAAATATCTTTATTCAATATAGAAGAATTACATTTACTTATTGATTGTCAAAAAAACTCTACTACCAATAGCACTTAAACTGAGAATTAAAAATGTGTACATAAAACTGTCACAATTTATTGTGTAATAACTATTTACAGTATCCAATCGTCGAGGACAATGCTCTAATACCTTATTGCTGTTTTGAGACGGGTGACTGTCCTACTGAACTGCAATCTCTAGTACACTTAAGATAAGAGCCAGCCTTTCATTTAATTTATAGAAATTTACGAGTTACAAATGTCTAGAAGAATAGAGTCAAATGAACTATGATCACTTTAACTAAGCGAATTTCATAAGTCTCGTAAGTATTATGAAATGCATGAGAACAAATAACGACGAAAATCCATTAAATACTGACAATAGTTTGACTATAATTTATACTATTGCTATTATAATAGAAATAATAGAAGTAAATGCATTTTCTGTTACCTTTTTGTCGGTGTCTACTAGTTAATCTTATAAATTCGTCCTATACACAAGATTTGCTTAAAAGTTTGATATGAAAACTATGTTCATTCTATTTATAGTCAAATAAAAATAAAACAGTAAATTACCTTTATTAAAAGTTAGCGACTAGTAACAATATTGACGCCTTATTCGCCTTAAACATCATCAAAGATCCAAATATAGAGTCAGTGATGATCTTTGACCTTGTTTGGAATTCAATGTGCGCTTGGTGTTTTATGTATTTATCTACGTCACTACAGACTTATCATTTAGACAGTACTTTAAAGCACTTAATAAATGTATAAAATTTAGTATTATTATGACATAAATCCTAAAGACTTTACTGGAAGAAAAAATTATAAATTAGATATTAAATTAAAAACTAATTTACCATCACACGTTAATTGCCTTTACAGCCTCTCTTGACCGGCAGCCATGAGATACGTAGAATAATTTGTTGGTCATGCTAAAGAAATCTTTATTCAAACTGTTTCTTTATGTTAATTATTCTTAAGGTCAGATTTTCGGCTACCTGTGTGCCATGAATCGTAAGATAAAAGCATCATTAATTAACCAATTACGTGATATTGGCTTAAAATATGTGTATCAATACGATTGTAAGATCAAATATTGAAGTCAGTTATGCAAACAATTATTGTTATTATATACCTGGACTTTTTTTAATCGATACAAGGTTCATGATAAGAGAAAAACATGAAATTTATCCATAGATAATCGTTTTATTGAATATATCAATTAGTGTAATTCCGTTGGTAATTCTTTCAAGTTTGTCTGTATTTTTCCTATGTATTGTGTTTACTTTTTATTTGCTCAAAAAATGAATGATGAAGTTTCCTATTTCAGCCTGTAGACTGTGAAAGCTTCATCGAACACAGGGCTTGTGGATCAGCCGAATTCCACGAACTCTATACAACCCTTCTCGTTGGGTAAGGTCGTGCATATACATGCATTCGTTATTTAATGATCGAATTTTGAAAAGTTGTTGTTTGTGTGTTCAATTATTGTTATTTCGTCTGTCTTGATCATTGGACTGGGTCTACAAAAGAAATGTAGTTGACCCTTTTTTTCTCCGTATATACCGTTAAATTCAAGATTCGATAGCGTATATTTTGTTTTAATTATACGTTTCTTTAGTTATATAGCGTCAATTTAATGTCAAATTAATCAAGAATGCGAAGAACTTTTGCCTAAAGTAAATTTCCTAGTTAATTGTGTAAGAGCCAGTTCTGAGAAAGTTCTGGCGACTACCACATTAATGTGTGCAACGCTTGTCGCTTCAACCGTTACGTGTTCTTTAAAATTGGGACTCCTTTGCAGTTAAGTCGACACTTTCATCGATGGCGAAACCTTCATTTGCCTCTTACTTCCTCGCAAGTCCCACTTGTTACTAAATAATCTAGAATGGCTTTGTATTAAAACATTCAAAAAGTTACAACAAACTTTAGAATTTTCACATCTTATTAAGAGTAAACAAAAGTTGCTAAAAGGACTGTAACGGTCATAAACGAGCTTTGCAACGTCCATTTTATAAAGATGAATATCTAGAGGTGAGATGAGAAATTGAAAACAAACCGGCCAAGTGCGAATCGGACTCGCGCACTAAGGGTTCCGTACCATTATCTATAAAAACGACAAAAAAATCATCTGTTGTATGGGAGCCCACTTAAATATTTTATAGAATTTGTTGTTAAACCGGCAAAAAAAATACATCATCTGTGAAAATTTAAACTGTCTATCACCGTTCAAGAAAGACCTAATGACTGACGGACAGACAGACAGGGACAGACAAATAAGTCTTAGTAATAGGACCCCGTTTTACCCCTTTGGATACGGAACCCTAAAAATGTGGATTGGCGGATGTAAAAACACGTTTGTTTTTGTACGTACAAACAATTTAAATTTATGATAGGAGGAAATTGTCTTTAAATAATAACTCACGTTATATTGTTACATAGGCATCGCTTAGATTTATCCTTGACATATAACGTCGTTACAAAACAAAAAATATGTAAGAAAATGGCATAACTGCTTAAATAGTAGGACGCAGCGGATTTCACTGAACATTGCTACATCGACGAAACCTCTGAATGCGTTTATTCGCTAATACAACTTATGGGTGTATTGAAATAAAAGTGCCACACAACATCCGTGTAAAAATTATTTAATAACATCATATTTCCATATAAAACCCTCTGGAATGATTAAATATAACAGAAAATAAAACGCCACCAAAGTATCATTCTTAACGGTAACATTGTGTAAACTTTTCAACATCATATACATACATATAATATGGTCGGTCGAGTGCGTGCGGGTTACGCGTGAATAAACAATTCGCTGTGATTGGACGCGTTCCCACAACCTAGGCAGGTCCGGTCAGTGAAGGTCCCGACCGGTGTTGTAGGTTCGGCTTGGCGGTAGCCTACAGCTTCGAGCGGATCGCGTCGATCCTGCCCGCGGCGGACCTCTGCAGGTCGGTGAGCTTCATCGCCAGCCCCATGTTGCCCTGGATCTTGATCTTGCCCTGGAAGAACGCCTTCTGCGGGTTCAGCTTGCCCGATATCAGCTCCACCACATCCTCGTCGTTGATCGTGAACGTGACGTCCGGCTTCTCTTTGCCGTTGTACGTCACCCTGCCCTTGCCCTCCTTGGCGTTCACCACCCAGTAGCCCTCCTCGCCGTTGGGCCCGTTGCGCACCTTGAACCCGTAGACGCCGCGGACCTTCTCGATGAGCTTCTCCTCGTCGTTCTGCATCGCCTCCTCGAGCAGCTGCATGTACTTGTAGACCTTGAAGCACTGAGGGTCGTCTGTGATGGCGGCCACCTGCTTCGGCGCGACATTCTCGAAGCCCTTGCGGTACATGGTTATGACGACGGCTCCACCGAGGCCCAGGTTGTGCTGCAGGGCGATGCGGGCGCGCGGAACCTGAGCAACGAGCGTTAGTCAATACGTATAGATACCGGTAATTGTTTTTCTTATGGAAACATTGCCATGCGAGCAGGCCGTCCACCTGATGTTAAGTGAATACTGCCACCTATGGACGTCTACTACACCCGAGGGTTACAGATACGTTGACAACCTTTTGAAAATTGGGCACCGGCTACCTCACTCACGTACTCCCACTTCACGGCGGTCTTCAGTGAGGTCGTGGTACTTAGCCGGACAAGCCTGCATATACGTGCAACAACCGAGACTGCTGCGTGGCCCTACCACAGGCACTACCTGACATATGGGGAATGCTAATGAAACATCTCATAGTGTTCGGTAAAAAACTCCTAATTATAAATATAAATTACAATTGGCTTTATTACAATTAAATTAATTAAATAATCTCCATCCCACCTCTCAAAACATTGCCAATCCTGAGACTGTTTGTATACCGATAGAAAACGTCAGAACAGAGACAGATGCCTGATTTCTAAAACACTGATCATCATACAAGTCAACTAATCAGCTGTCAAATAGCTTTTCAAATGTTACTTGAGTTGCCAAAAGGTTTGTTAACCTCCCTGAATGGACCTAATTGGTCATTTGAAAGCCATTTGACAGCTGATTAGTTAATTTCTATGATGATCAGTGTTTCAGAAACTGGGCATCACTCTTTCACTAAACTACAATTTAAATTTTGATCTCAGCTTTATGAGAATAAACATGTAATGAAACAATAATTTTTTAAAGTTAAACCATAATAATCTGTAATCTGCCCAAAATACACATAAATATGATAAAGGAATAAATGTGTTAATGGACTCTAAAATGTCACTAGTATCAGGTTATTACAATTCATTGCCCTGTCGCTTATCAAGAATATATTATTAGACATTCCAACACTACAACTGAAATTTGGAATAAATATGTTTAAAATGAATAAGCATGTGTTTTGCAACAGTTAACTTAGCTAAGAGTTAACCACAACACATGTAAAACAAAAGCTTCATGAAGGCCAAAGGTTTTATTAAGCAAAAAACAACTTAACTAAGCCTAGTAGTTAGTTAGACTTTATACTTGAATATTGATTTTAGCAATTTTTTACCCTTAAATCAATCCATATACAAATAATTTAAAAGTGTCTATTGTATAAAATATCTTTTATATATAAAACTAGCATTTCGTTTGCAGCTTCGCTCGCATTGAAGCCCGTAAATAAATATCTTTCAAACTTTTACAATACTTTTTCCAATTAAAAAATTGCCTATGTTCTTTCTCAGGCTCTAGTCTACCTGTGTACCAAATTTCATTTAAATGGGTTCCGTAGTTTGTAGTGGAAGCGAGACAGACAGACAGAGTTACTTTCGCATTTATAATATTAGTATGGATTCAGGAAAAGAGGTCTTGAGTTACAAATGTTAATGGTGCCAAATTGGACTTTGATTGTAGAGGTAAAATTAGTATATTTTGTTCAGTGAAACAGGTTTAATATACATAAGTATTACTCATTTCCTAAAAATTATAGTCATTCATTAAAATAGGTGTGCTTTGTTTTTTGTTTTCATTAAAAGCAACAAAACAAATCATATTACTGAGAAATAAAAAAATCACAGTTAAGGATAAAATAATTATCTGAACTACTATTTAAGCTTATTGTTTATTATCAATTTATAATCTTGCAAACACAAAAAATTATTTAAAATTTGGTCAGGGGTCCAAAAGTTAAAGTTGAATTAGCCAAAGTAGTGTTTGCTTTGACTAAGTTATTTTTTAAGTAATGTAAGTGAAATTGTAACTTGAAAATTAACTCCTCATAGATGTGATTGAAACACAAGAAGATAGCAGATTTGAGATAGAATCTCCTGATCTTTTCAAGAAATAGACAGATGGCCATACAACCATGTTCAACTGTTTCCTGCCCTAAAACTATCATAGGCATTCATCAACTGATAAAACAAACCTGTCTATCTCCAGCCTCTCCTCGAAGCTGCCAAACTAACTCTGCACACTGTGCCAATCCAGTAGCTCCTAACGGATGACCCTTTGCTATTAATCCACCACTTGGGTTTACTACCACTTTACCACCATATGTGTTATCACCCGAATCAATAAATTTACCAGCCTCACCCTCACCACACAGTTGGAGACCTTCATATGTAATAAGCTCATTAGCAGCAAAACAATCATGGAGTTCTACTACATCAATTTGTTTTGGTGTGATGCCAGTCTTTTCATAAAGTTGCTTTGCTGCTAAAGCTGTCATATCATAACCGGCGACTTTCATCAAACTATTTTCTGTGAAAACTGCAGCAGTGTCCGTAGCCATTTCCATGCCAATGATCTCAACAGCTTTTTTCTGAAGACCATATCGGATAACAGCTTCTTCAGACATGAGAACTGCTGCACCAGCACCATCACTGGTTGGGCAACACTCAAGTTTGGTCAAAGGTCCATAAATTTTCCTGGATTTTAATACCTCCTCCACAGTGTATTCTCGGCCATTTTGAGCTCTAGGGTTTTTAGCTCCATGGCGGTGATTCTTAGCAGCTATTTTAGCCAGATGCAATTCGGTTGTGCCATATTTTTTCATATGTTCCATAGCTGCATTACCAAAATATTGAGCAGTCATGGGTGCTCCAGCTAAATCGACCATTTCAGCCATTTTTAATGTGTGCCTATCCAGAGGATTTGTTCTGTCTGTAAAACCACTCCCACCAAGGGCTCCCGGAGCCATTTTCTCAAAACCCACAGCCAATACCACATCTGCTATGCCTCCTTCAATAAACTGTTTAGCAATAAAAAGAGCATTGGAGCCCGTGGAACAATTATTGTTTACGTTGTAAATAGGGATACCAGTCATGCCAACTTGATAAAGCACTCGTTGGCCGCAAGTAGAATCACCGAATACATAGCCACAAACCGCCTGCTGAACGACGTCGTATGGGATTTGAGCGTCATTAAGGGCCGATTCTACCGCCTCTTTACCCATCTCTGGATAATCCTTACCAGAATTAGGTTTTACGAACTTCGTCATACCGACACCAACTACGTATACTTTCCTACCCATTTTTTAAATTTTCTTATAATTACCTCTTGAATGTCTTCAAAGTTGACAGAATTCCCCTGCAAACTTCGCAGTTCAGAAACAACTGTGCAAAAATCCGATTGGACTCTGATCCAAATACTTTTATCTGTAAAGATATTGTTATCTCCTTAATTTTTCTATTGCGTAAAGCTTTAAGACATAAATGACGATTAATGGAGTTGGAATTAAAGGTTTATGTACAATATCACGCAACGGCGGTCAAAATCGTAATGACAATGAAATGAATGACATGACAATAAGTTTGCAATTACACGTTTATACAAATATAAATATAACAACAACTTACGTACCTACATATAACAGAGAGAACAATAGAGTTGACGAAATGGTAATTATTAGGGATATTCCGATACAGTAGCCATGCGTCCGATACGATGTATCAAAACGAATTTAAAATCCGATTTCAAACACAAATCGATTCGTATCGATTTCATGAACTAAAAAATCCGATTTCAAAAATCGACCCTAACAAGCCAAACGCTGATGATGTATCGATAACGATAGCACCAAAAGAATCCAAATCGACAAATAACTAAATCGACTAATCACTGGGTATATTACCATACTAATTGTGTGCGGTAGGTATCCAAACGCAAACTGATTTATTGATCGTACACTAAAATTCTCTTTCTCTCTTTCTAACCAATTGGAATAAAGCGGAATAAAAGAGATAGCGCGAATTGTGCGATTCGGACTTCAGTTTGTCGGTTAGGCTACGAAAAAACTGTTTAATTAGCTACGGAACTGAATGATCAATTAAGATCCTTATGTTAAAAGTAACGATATGAGTAAGTATCGACCCACATCACCCACCTCTATTATACAGTTTCCTCGCAAGAAGAGTGATGAAAAAGTATCGATGCATCCATATACCGATATTCTTTATTCGATATATCAACACTTTAGCCGATATATTTTGATCCAATATACTGATTCAAAATTGTAAATGCGTTATATAAATGCGTTAATGGCCATTTAAGAAAGAATACGCTCTTTCTTTGTAGGTTCTCAGATCGTAACGGTTCGGAAAGACCGCGGAGGCAGTTGGTTCCACAGACTGGTTGTGCGAAGCAGGAAATGCCTGGAAAATCGCGATTATGTGGAACGCTGGACTTCGAGGTCGTGTGGATGAATTTTTGTTCATTTTTTACTTTCAAATAAACTAAAAATCATAATGACTTATGTATGAAACTAAGTCACAACGTAACGCATACAGTTCACCGTGCTTAAATGTATATAGAAAATATTTTTAAAATGATGATTAAAACATTTTATCACACTGGTCAATAATAAAAATTAAGTATACCTATTTAGTAAGAAAAAGCATATAATTTTCGTAATTTGACAAGTAATCTATGTAAGGAATTTTCGGTAAAATTCTTAAGATGTTAGTCTAGATAAACGCATTCCACAATTTACCTGCTTCACGGAAAATTTTTGTGATTTAATTTAATTATGGCGTTAGATAAACAGAAAATATTAAGTGAGTTGGGAAGTGTTATGAATCAACTTCAAAGTGCTGATTGGTAAGTTTTAATGTAACTATTAAAACTATTTATATTTTACCCGTTCTATTACATTATTATAATTGTATTCACTTTCAGTGGCTGTATGGGAAAATTATTTGGTAATACAACTTCTCCTGCACCAAATATGAGACCTCCTGCAGCTTCGGGAGGTTTTAATCATGGATGTGGTCACTGTCATGGTCACAACCATTTTCACGGATCGTGTAATGGAGAACCTTGCCCGCCCACGCCTGTTCAGCATATGAATCAATCGTGTATGGGTCGTTGCAATCCCGCAAAGTTGTATGCTGATACTTATCAACATTTAAATAACAACCTTATGCAGCCAGTTGTGCAAGAGGTATATAATGACCTGAAATCTATTTCACCAGCCAACACCGTTATGAATAACCAAACATTTAATCCTCTAAATTCAACTCAGGGTCACACTAACATGCAGCTAATGCAAAACCAAAACAGCATAACTTCTGAAAACGTTTCAAGCCCCTATCATAACCAAGGAAATTTAGACCCAAGGATGAATCACATGAGTGGAGCAAGGGATCAAATGAGTGGAGGGGGAGGAATAAGTGGAGCAGGAGTAAAAAACAACATGAATGTATTGGGAGCTAACGTGGGGAGTGTAGGAGGCTTCACGAGTGGAGTAGAAGGGCACATGAGTGGAGCAGGAAGAGAATATATGAACGGTCCAGGCCACCACGTAGGGAGAATAGGCGAACAAGGAAGCGGAGTGGGTGGCCATATGGCCGGAATGGGCCCAAATATAGTTAATATGATGATGAGCGGGCACAAACCAAATGCAAACGAAAAACCTGTAGAAGAAGGAGGCATCCTAACGCAGCCAATGATTATCGATGCTCCTCAGTCACCTCATGGTCAAATAGGAGTTACTCCTATACCTGCCCAAATGGGTACTCATCAAAGTAGTGACAGGCCACTTCAGGCATTAAATCAACAACAATATGAAAATAACCAAGGAAATTTCAATAAGCCAAACCTAAACAGTTCAAACATGTCGAATGCAGGAAAACCTTTGCAACAAATAACACCAAATCACTGTGCCCATGGACAGCACGCCCATGGTATCGCTAAGTTTAATGAGATGTTTCCTGGTGTAATGACAGGTTTTGGCGGTGATTTGAACTTTGACCCCATGGCGCTAGCTGTACAAATGAATCCCGCTAATCAACAGCGTACTGCTATAGACACAATCCAGAAACTTATGTGTGGTAATAATTCTGGAAAAAATGGAATAGTACATCCACAAAATACAGGGCAGCCATTAAATGAAAACACGGCCACTGATGCAAGAATGGTGCAATCCAGTATAAATCAGAATCAACTACAACCAAGTAACGGTCCGGTTAATACATTAAACAATAGTCGACCACCGATAAGTAAATATGAGGATATTAATCAACAGTTGCAAAATCACGAACAAATAAATAGTACCAATGATAATGAACAACATCAGAAGGTTTATACCAATACGGATCAACAATTTTTAAAGCAGCAAGTACAAGGAAAACATCAACAATTATTAATGAATCCAAACTCCAGTGGTGAAATAATGAATACACCGAATCCTCAGACGCATCACTCAATTCCGGACACTCGATCACTGTCTGAACCATCACCATGGTCGGAAAAACCGCAAATGGAAAAAGAGCCCATATTCCCAGCTAATGTTTCGAAAAATCAATCCTACTCGCATACAAAAAGGCCTGCTAATTATACGTATAACACGTTGGGTCAACCTATTGAAATGCTACCTGCACATGGCTACCATATCAAGGACCCGGGTGGCCCTCAAACGTTGTCACCACAAAATCTTCCTTCTAAGCCTATTCACGATCCAAGAGCATTTAGCAATGTTAAATCTACCGTAAGCAGGACATCTATAATGGGGAATGGCCCTGTTGGAAGGAATCCTAGCAAAAGCCAATTGCAGCATATCTATAACCAGTATAAAGGTTCTCAATCACTTACGCAACAGAATATATTAAATCGAACTGAAGGAGTTACACATTCAGAAGGCATGTTAAACGTATCTCAACAGCGAGCAGGAAGAAATGCACCTAACCAACAAGTTGTAGTAGAAAAAGTCGGAGGCGATACTTTACCAGAAAATGAAGCTGAAAACGAGGCCGCGAAAAGACAAGTAGTTTCAGATCACATTGGTGACGTTGACAATGTTGACAAAGTACAGAACAATGGAATGCGTGAACAATCGGTACGACTTTACTTACTTTAAAAGACTAAGTAAATTTGAAATTAAGGGAATAGTTATTTTGTTACATTTGAATGAACTAGTATCAATACTTAAGTTATGTTGTTAAGATAAAACCGGAATATTGGATAAAAAATAACGATACATTTTTTTTTCAATTTAAAAATTCAACGCTTTATTACAGATTCCGATAAGAAATTCGAAAGCCAGGAACGGCTTGCAGGACATTGTTTACACGTCTTATCCTGCTTCAGCTGCTTGGTCATTCCACGGGCACGCTCGACCATCTTATTCAGTGGGACCACGGAACAGAACGCGGTTTTGAACATGTTTTATGCAGCGCTTTTTATTAAAAATATCATTGTATTTTTATTATTTACATAAGCTGTTTATACTGTTAAAATATAGTATATAAATGAAAAAACAGTTGAATAATTTTGTAATCGCCAAATGTCTAATTAATGACTGTTATAATATTCATATACAAGCTTAGTGCTAGTGTTGCTAAGTTTAATAAACATCTTGAACTTTGCCTTGAAGATCATCTCGAGTTCTCTAGCAGTTATGTTTTTCGCGTAAAGGTAGTGGTCACCAAAGATTTAATAGTGATGACGTATGTCCGTACATGTTTTTTATGCGACAAAAAGGCAAACGAGCTAGCGGTTCATCTGATGTTATGTGATAACCGCCGTCCATGGACATTTGCGATACCCGTAGGGTTGCAGATGCGTTTCCACCTTTTAATAAAGTGGACCCCGGCTACCTCACTCGCCAGACGAACGCAGAAGTGTAACGCTTCTACTTCACGCCGGTCTTATGTGAGGTCGTGGTACTAACCCGGACGGACCTGCCCATTCGTGCAACGTCGAACCAGATATATAAAAGTACTCTTGGCGGCGAACACTGTTGCGTGGTCCTACCACAGTTACTGCGCGCCAAAGAGAATGTAATCAGTAATCACTACGTTTAAGACGGGACTCCCATACTAGCCAAAAATATGAGTTTACGCGGCACTCCAATACCAACCATACAACAAAAATACCACAAAGATGTCAAACAACATGAGTACCAACTTAACGAGCCAAATAGTGCTTAACCAAGCTAGCTTAGCTTCTTATCGATATCGATAAAAGATACTAGGTAGAAACAGTAGTTTCCACTTAATATTTTTTATTAATTTTAGTAGGTTATTATAGGTTTTGCCATTGACACGAAAAGAAGAAGAATTTTAGTAGGTAAGCATCGAGTCCGTATTTATGTCCAATGTTGATAAGGGGATATTTGGTAGAAGATTGGACTTTAATACGGACCCGAAATAAGATAAAAAACGGTTTCTATTAATTAAAATTAAAATTTATTACTGAAATGAAATTTGTTTCTTGATTCTTCAGTCAACAGCTGTTGTCCTGCTGTACACGAGTCTGGAAATAATTGAAATATAAAAATAGAATCAAAATCCAAAAAATATTTTAGTTTTCTTGCATACTCAGCGCACGCAATTAATTATATGACGTATCAATATTACAGAGATTATGTTTCGAAATCCTGCAAAATTCACCTATTCCGATCCTTGATAATTAATGTAGGCACACCATTCAAATATGTAAAACTGTGCCCCTACTATTTCACGCAACATGTTATTTCTTATTTTTGCAATGATAAACATCAACGTAGTTATCGATATGTGGATATTACAGTTGCAGTACATCACTAGCACACAATTTAAATGAGATACATTTGTTAATTTTATTTGTTCTTAGTCTGCTCTACTTACATATGGCTGCAAAGTATCATATTTAAGTGCTTACATGGGCTTCATTTAAGGGAAATCTCGCCATAAACATCCTTTTTTCAAGATTCAAATGACTTACTCGATTTTCACCAATTTCAAAGGTCACCGTCTTTTTGGCATTTTGAATTAAAAGTACAACTCTGATCACCTGTCATTAGTTTTCGTGAGAAAGTTTACTCTAAACAATTTAAATTTTCAATGAAATAAGCATTTACATTCAAAATACGCGGTGCGAAAATAAGTTTTGACAAACAACATGGCACTTCTTGTATTGCAAGAAAGAGAAACCGCATTGAGGGAAAGTGATAGCAATGTCCGCCATTATTTGCCGCATAAAGTCCATAGAAAAATTTTTTGTTCCTAGTTTCGCCAGACTGCTGCGCGCCATTAAAAATGATTCTGCTTTAAATCATATATGTGAATGTGACAGATGAATACAGATGATTATAGAACGTATGATATGGAGGGAGATGGTACTTTTTTTTCGATACTTTTGGATTTTTTTGATATTCCATTCCATTCTTATTCAAAATTCAAAGTGATAACAATTTTTATGTTTTTTTGTTATAACGAGTTTTTGAGTAAACTAATTTACTTTTTGTGCATTAATTATGAAAATAATAGTGTACTATAATTTTTTGTCAAATACTATCCTTTTAAATTTATTGTATCTTTTTTACCGCATCTAAATGCAACCCTGTAGGTTTGTTAATTTAATTTATTTGGTCAGTTTTGGTAAAAGTCACGTTCGTCACGTTTCGCACATATTTCTTTAAAACCTTAACATATTCAGAACTTTTATATCTATATGTTTAGTTTTATTCATAACATTTATTTTATATTTGCAATATATATTTATATGTTTATTTTTTATCTATAAACCCAACCAGAAGAGAAAACAAAGAAATAACCCCAAAACATTAATTTAATAAAAACAATCTTTCATTATAGGTATCAAGAGAGAAGCATCTCTTGAATGGTAGCTGTGGCTAATGGGATCATTTTCAAACCAAAAAGACACATAAGGACTGATAGGAAAACTATTTATTTGAACTTTAACATTTTGAACTAATTTTTAACAGTACGTAATCATTATGAAATTTATGTAAAATACAAGAGTTATATCATATAGCTAGACTTACGTTACTTCTCCTAACGATTTTAACGGAATCAACCAAATATGACACAATTCAGTATGAACAAATAAAACTAACATTCTAAATTTAATTTAAAGTAATTCAAACATAATACATAAACCAAGAAGATCAGAGTTGATATTAAAAGAGTATGTATAACTGAGATTACCAATCAACAGCATCATCACTTAACACTCTATGCTCTATGACTCTATGGTTGTTGTGGTTCTCGTTCTAATCTCTTCTCTATACTCTATACCTTTTTTTCTTAGTGCCTGAGATTTCGATTTTTCATATCGTGAAAACGCGAAACGACTAAGTACGCACGCTGTCAAGATTTGTGGTGATATTTCAAGACTTTCTATTTAATTTGATTTAGTTGTGATTTTTGCGCCGTATATAAGTCCATAAATTTTAAAAATGTCCCTGTTTGGTTCCTTGATGGCCGACGTGGAGGATGATCCGTTTTTCGGGTAAAACCATGTTTTCCTTTAAAGTATTCTCTTTCTATAATATGATAGAAACTTTAAGCATTTAGATAACTAACACTAGGTAACAACATTTTATTTTTATTACTTAATGCATAACTTTCTTCTTTCTATCATGTTCTTAACTATGTACTGTTAGGATGTTAAATAACTACATAATACTATGTAAATATTCGCAAATGTCTAATTTTGATACAAATATATTGTTAAATAGTCAGTTCTCTAAAACTGTTTTAGACAATCCAATGGCATACTCAAACGACATGCTTGCTGCAAAATGTAAATTGTGTATAGCTTGTTATGCTTATTTATAAATGACCTAACCCTAATATTATTATGATAAAATCGACAATCAATATGATCCAGATTCATAAAAATTTACATTTCTGGTACAAATGTAAACTTCGCCATATATCACCAAAGACTTAAAAATAATGACTGGCACATCTAGGTCTATGGTAAACTACCCATAAAATTTATATACAATATTTGTATGAGATGATACAAGGCCAATTTGCTCAAATGTTGGAAATTAAGCAATTTATTGTGTACTTGTATGGTTTAACAGTAAACTTATATTTTTTTCTGTTTATAACAAACTCTTGAATGATTTGAACTGATTCAATTGCCTGGAATTGTAAAGAGGCTACCATCAATTATAATATTAATTTCATTACATGCACTTATTGGTGGCATATAAAAATACTTGGTGGGTTAGGGTTCAATCTATATGCTAACCATACAAAGCTTGGATATGGTATCAAAGCTTTGTATATGCATTTATTGGGGAACCAGATATGCCATGGACAGATTATTGTTACATTGTACTTTTACTATATGCATAGCTGAATTCATGATGGTTTTTTCAGATCACACATGAGACACATGAGGCAGATGAACAATATGATGAACTTGCTGTTCTCGGATCCATTCAGCATGATGGGCGGAGGCAGAGCATTAGCTCTCTCTGGCCCTCAGCATAACAACTCCCTGATGCCTTTCATGCCTCAGATGCCGTCTTTAAATAGACTTTTCTCTGGTAAGCTCTTGCAATTTAAAAAAAAAAACTAGGTAATTAAGAACATGTATTGGTTCATCAATTTTATATAGCAGTAACAAAAAAGTCTATTTCTCAATCATATTGGACAAATAGTTTCAAAAACCATTACAAATCTTGGTCTTATACATTTAATTTGTGCAACTGTAGCATTGCATATTTACCACTTTATCCCAATCAGTGTATTTGCAGTCAGCACAGAGTAAGTTTTCTATGAATATTGCTTTGCAAACTTAAGCGGAAGTTAATTTGGGTAAAATTTCAGCAGCCCACTACTTTTATATAGCAAAGAAAAATAAAAATTTAATGATAGAGAAATATAGATAGTAAATACCTTAAAAATAAATCAATAAGCAGAATTGGCTAATCACTAATAGTTTTCGAGAAAAAACATAATTAAAATTTATTATTTTCACTAAAGAAAACCGCCATTAATACGCTAATAACATTAATTTTATACAAGTGGTAACTCACGTTTTTACTTTATTGGATGATACAATGATACAGTATACTTAAAATCAAATCACAAACACATATTTTTTACTTGGCGAGCAGGCATTATCAACAATTTTTAATATTTAAGGTTTAACTTTCAAAATTAAAATCATAACAAAAACAATTCAATAATAACAATAATACTATTGAACACAGATTCACATACATACTACATACTACAGATAATCAATTAATTTAAGTATCGATTAATTATTATGATTTTATATTGATTTTTAAATAAATTACAAAATTTTAGTTGTTTAATTAAAATTTTAAAATAAATAAATAATTTATCTCTGTTTATGGCAGGCCTTGGAGATGTCATCAGGACTTGTTATTAATTAAGATAAATTGAGTTCTACATTTATTTATCATAAAATTGGTAAGGTTCAAAATGAGTCACAGATCCGACACAGTGCACCCCGGCTCCATGTGGTCTTGTGGTCCCTACCCCTAGAGTGAACATAAAAAGGCGGAGCCAGAACCTCGCGTCGGAGGTCCTGAGTGTCGCTTCACTCTAGGGGTAGGGACCACAAGACCACATGGAGTCGGGGTGCACTGTGTCGGATCTGTGACTCGTTTGGAATGTAACTTAGTTCATTATTATCATAGATTTATAAAAATCACATATAAAACCATCAGCTTGAGTTACGTAAAGACGAATTTAATTTAAATCACTTTATAATACACAATGTTAACATTAAGGGCTTTTAAGAAAAACATTTTATAAAATTTGTAATCGAGTTTTGAAATCGATATTAGCATATTGGCTGTATCATTATTTTTGATGCCTAATTGTATGTCAAATTTATAACCAAAAGTAGTTCCAGCTCATTTTATATTAATCAAATATGTATATACCTCCATTATTGTATTAGTCTTATTTTTTTAATAAAAATTTATTCCAATCAGAATCAAATTGTTCAGTGCTTTTTATTTTTTGTGTTATCATGAATTCTTGTAAAGAAATTTGAATGTTTTAAGTGTGGACAAGACAGTGTTTTACGGACGGTTTTTAAATGTGAAAATGTTGACAATAGTAAAATGGTGGATTTTCTTAGTGAGAATAACAAGATTTAATTACGTTTTTTTCCCGAAAACTATAGGTGACTCAATTTTTTTTTATTGATTACTTAGTGATATGTCTCTATAGTTATCTGTCGTTTAAATTTTTCTTTTGTTTGCTATATAAAAGTAGTGGGCTGCTGAAATTTTACCTTAATTTGATTTGCTTGATAATTTTACCTAAAAACATTTATTAAAACTGCTTGCTAACATGCTTATGGAATATTCTTGAATTGTTGTTGGATAAAGGACTGCCGAATATAATATTTTCCTCTGCCACTTATTGGCTTTAGAGGTTTTTTCTATTAGTATATATCAAAGAGTTTGTTTAGTCAACTTTTAATCAATTGAATCTGAAATTATTATGTAAGAATATTATAATAATGCTGAAGTAGAAAGTCTACTCGGATATAAATATAGATTAGTTCATGTAACCAGCCTACCACCACTTTTAAATCAACTACAAACTATTAAATCAATACATATTAACTGAGTAAAATTTATTTCAACTCTAACATTTTCAAAACATATATACTACTTTTCTTGTCTCAATTAACATAATTCTCTTCTTATAACTTATGTTTGACAATTTTATTTAAAATATTTTGAAATCCATTCTAAATTACGTAAATTTCTTTAATATGAGCCACCAGTAAGAACTACATTAATTTGAAATTTAACACTTGATGTTAACATAAAATAATTTAGATATGGGTAATCTAAAAGTGGAAACTTTTGTGAAACTGTGGAATCTAAAACTTGGCCTTCTGTATTTATTATCCAATACTTGATTTATGTGCCAGTTATTAGTTTCCCTAAAATTGTAAAATAAAGTAAATAAAATATTCACTGTACATTATATTTCAACATAACACACTTGTTAAAAATTGTTTCATTATTTATTTATATCAATTTTAAATACATGAAAAGACTTATTGATTGGTTCATGTATAGTGATAAGAGACAATTTGACCTTACAGTACAAAAGAAACAGAACCAATATGTCTTTTTCCGAAAGATGCAATGTATAATTATCTTTACAACTACCTTGTATTTTAGTAATGCCAAGAAAATCCAATTTAACAACACATGATTAATTAATTTAAAATTAGCATCAGTTGTCAGAAGTAATATGTCTGTGTAACATAAGTGGGTGTTTCTGGCACCACTAAATGGTTTGGATTACTATTCTTCATCTACACTCCATACCTTTTTTTGTTTTTAAAAACAATGCCCTTACTTAAGGATAACATTATCCGGTGTTGCAAGGACGTTTTACAAATATAAATTTCACTCGGACAAACACCCAGTTCCGAAACAACTATCTATGGGTCACACAAATGGTTGTCTCGTGTGGGAATCGAACCCACGACCCCCGACGCAGAAGCCAATAACTTGGCAACTGCGTCACGGAGTCATAAAAGTTGTGGTATTTTCATGATTCATGATCATCCATAACTTTAGGCCATATTTCTTTAAAATCAAACTATTAAATTGTCATATTAATGCCCATCGCATGTTTTTTAAAAGTTTACTCAGGCTCTAGGGAAAATGTGTTTATACTTATTCTTTTTTTCGTATGATGGGGCAACCTAGCAAGCAGTCCGTTCACCTGTATGTAAAGCGAATGCAACTGTCCGTGAAGATCCAACAACTGTGTTTTAGGTGCCTTATCAGATCTCAATCTTAAATGGCAATGTGAACTCTGTTTACCTCACTTGCCAGGCAAAGGGTCCAATGTCACAACACAGTACTTCTGCAGACTAGTTTTCTGCAGATGTTTTCGTAGGAATTCATCATAAGTTTAGATTTTAGAAAAAAAAAAAGCTATTGGCTCCCATTTCCCTCACCGATGCTGTTTTAACACCCCCCCCGATGGCAGTCTCTGAAGTGTCTGCGCTCAGAATTATCGTGTCACTTGTGAAAGACCAAGTACATCTCTCAAATGCTTTGATGAGTTATTATGTGATATATTATAAATTTGTTTTATACACGGTCGAACACTACTAGCGGTGTGTAGTTTGCAAAATGTTTGCTATATAACACAATATCAGTAGCATCTTTTAAAAAAATTGGAAACCAAAAGTCAGATCATTACGGAGACAAGTACTTTATGTCAAAATTGCAGTGAGAACAGCTGTTTATAGTTATACCTGATTAGTCTATTTGTACACTCGAAGAAAACCTAATTAATGACATTTAAACATAATGAACCCAATATTAATTGGATAGTAGTAGTTTTCTCACCAGGTTAACTGGCAGAGAACTCATGCATTAATCTTGTACATTACTTACATTCTTCAGGTTTTTTTGTTTTGTGTAAAAAAAAATCTATAAATAAATGATTTGGAAGATGTGTCGATTTATTTCTGTTCCAGCCGACCTGGACGGGCAAATGAGCGCTGGTAGCTCGTTCAGCAGCAGCACCATAGTGATGTCCAGCGGGCCGAACGGAAAGCCGCAGGTGAGTTACCCCCTCGCGGACGGTGACCATCAATATAGAAAACGTCTGACGTTCGAGACATTGCAAAGACCAGAGGAAAAAAAGGAAAACTACGCACTTCAGGGGCTAAAGTTTACAAAATAATAGTTTCTCAGAAATTGGATCGGTAGTTTAGTGCGGAGAACGCCTATTTTTACTGTTCCGTAGTTATCATGTGTCGGGCAACTGGTTTAATTCACCTAGTTTTGCCATTAACTAAGGTTAGCTTTTGTCTGTAGAAACCGTCCGTGAAAAAATAAAAAAGAACAATAATTACGCTCGATTCGAACATGGTCCTTCGAGCCCGTACCGTCGTATCCCAGGTCTAACGCGGACCCCTACCATGGTCCTTCCTGACACCGTCGTATCCTAAGTCTAACGAGGAACGATATTCGCCAGGTGTTCAGCTCGTCCAGCAGCACGAAGATCGGGCCGAACGGAGTGAAGGAGACACGCAAGACCCTCCAGGACACGCGCACCGGCACCAAGAAGATGTCCATAGGTAAATATCGCTTTCACACAGCAGACATCGTCTTAATTCTACTTCTGCGACCAAAACGAAATATGTTCGTGTCATATTTCGTATACGTGGTCATCGTATTCGTGTATTCTATATGAAAATCAATTATAAAATTAATACAGAGCGAGATATTGTTTTTCGTTACTATAAAAAATTGACTTATCAAATACAGAATATGTTCAGTTTTCTGGGACTTCCCTGTCATTTGTCGATTGCCACGTATTCTTTTATCTAATCTTATTTTATGGTATGGTTTTGTCGCATTTATTTGGTGATTTAATTAAAGGTAGACACGAAAATGGTTTACTGTAAGATAAAATTCATAACTTAACAGTTAAGTTCATAGTTTCATTTGACAATTTCACATGAGATGTAAACTTATGAATTCCATCTTTAGTTACTTTTCTTCGCGGCTTTGCCCGTTTCTTTCATTTTTAATTCCTTTTTTTTATTTATAATCTGAAGAGGAAAATAAACATAATAACAAACTCTGTCATTCATTACCAAATGATGTTATTTTATCGTTGCCCACTTAATATTTACGACTCGATGAGTGACTTCGTCGAGTCCGATTGACGTCAAACTGAATTAAATTTGGACATCTCGATTGAGCTACTGTCTAGTGAAACTGTTGAATCTATTTCGTAAATATCCTATAGAAAAACAACTAAGAATGACATATAGGGAGGACTAGTTGATCTAGAACCTTCTGTACTCAGCTCGTGATAATTTGTCCGATTCTGCCTATCAATAACTGTGGTAGGGCCACGCAGCAGCCTCGGCTGTTGCACGAATGGGCGGGCTCGTCCGGGTAAGTACCACGACCTCACAGCAGACCGGCGTAAAGTGGAAGTATAACACTTTCGCGTTTCGTCTGGAGAGTGAGGTAGCCGGAGCTCAATTTTTGAAAAGCTTTTCAACGCGCGGTTCTCTCTGCAACCCTCGAAAGTTACAGATGTCCATGGGCGACGGAATTCACTTAACATAAGTTAAACCGCCTGCTCGCTTAGCAACTTGTCGCATAAAAAAAATATCACAACTGAAACAAGCGTGAACATAGACAAACAAACACACCTGACACTTGACTCGGTGACATCAAAATTTGCGCGCATTTTAAAGATCCCCGTAGTGATTTCTCATTCGTAAAGTTTCCATTGTGTTTGTTTTGCTCGGCTCGCCCGTTATTTATAATTATAGCATACATTATAATATCGCAGGCACGTCTCTTCTTGTACAATTAAAACGACGCCAGTCCTCTCTATATAGACCAGGTATACAGCGTGTCGTTACCACCGCGACAATAAATTAACACACATATAGAGGATAACTTTTTAAAATTGTATTAAACATTTACATTCTTTAAACATCAATATTTACAGAGTTATTAAATTTTCCAAAACATACAATTTTAGAGCACCCTTACGTATAAAACTATAACGTAAAGTTCATTTGTAAAGGTCACGAAGCATATGAATGGATTGAATGAATTTAAAAGAGACAAAACATACTGTTAGAAGGAGAGGCTTGTAATGCGACGCTGTGGCGCGAGTTGTATAGGATGTTACAAATTTTGTTTCTTTTTTACTTAGTATGTTTGAAAATTTTTTTTTTATAGCGTCAAGTAGCGTTAGACGTGTGTTCATTTATTGTCGCAATGATAACGACACGCTGTATATTGCCCAACTTTCCACTGGTAATTGAAACGTGTTTCCAAAAAGATTCCGTCGCGGTTGTTCATGACTCCATTGGCTTATCGGTTGTTGTCCGTATTGGCCACTGGGAGACCAGCACAAGTGTTACACTTCTGCGTTTCGCCTGGTGAGTGAGGTAGCCGGGGCCCAGTCTATTTAAAGGTGGGGCGACGGATTTGCAATCCTATGGGTTTTGTAAATGTCCATAGTTTTTAGATGACGGCTGATAGAGGATAGTGGGAGGAAAGGACATGTTGTTCCGACCCCACTTAGTATTGGATAAGAGCAGGAGAAAAGGAAATAGATGATTGTTGTTTTGTTCTTATATTTCCCACTTTATAATTGACAGTGCGTGATCTTTGTCGTGAGTCCAAGCGGTAAAACACATGCGGCTCCGCGTTAATTGACTCCGCATATACAATAAAGCAATCGCGAAAAACGGCGACCTTCAAAAATCGTCTAGCGAATTCAACCCGCTAACACTAGCTTGCTTGCGTTGCTTAAACCTAAGGTTATAGTATAGAGACTTGTGACACAAATCCCGTTTAACAGAGCTTATTTAGTTCAACGATTACGTTTTTAGGGTTCGGTTTAAAACGGGACCCTATTACTAAGACTCCGCTGTCTGTCCGTCCGTCACCAGAATTTAAAAAAAAATTAATGCCGCTCCGAGGAAACTGGTTATTCGCCTCATCGTTACTTAGTTTAATTTTATTGAGTGAAAAATAATAATTGAACTATTTATATCTTCGCCATTGTTTCCTCAAACTTTTTCGGGCGATATATGGGGCGGGTCATGACATCATTTCGTGTCGTGCTTTTTTCAACACTACACTAGGGTTGCGAGCCCTGTTAAAATATATAATATTGTATTTGTTTATTTATTTCATAATTTATGTACACAGAAAATGTAAATACATGAAAGAATTTGTACAAAGGCCCTGTATTGTATTAATACGCAGTGTATGTAATACTGTTCAAAATATAGTAAGATAAGTTGATATATTTTAGCTGTATGGCTTAATATATCTTTATTCATAAGACACTATTTTTTTACTGGCATATTTTAAAGACACTATGTTCAACCGAAGAAATGTTGGCAACCCTGGATTAATTATCTTACTTGTTCTAACTCGCTAAAAGCCTGCAGATTTATCTCGTTCACGTTAGCGCCTCTTATACGAACCTTATACGTAAAGGGGTGATTGTTTATTTTAGTTTAGTCATTGCTAATTACTAATACCGACAAACCGCATACTGTAGAGGAAAGGGGGGTGATTAAAGGCCCATTTACACGGTGCAAGTTTCTTGCCTGTTATATACAATTAAATTGAAGCAATAAATGAGTTGCATTGTCTAAACAGCACATAACATTCTTGACTGTTGAACAAGACTTGCTTCAAGTTTTGTTTCAAAACTTTCCTTGGTGTAAACAGCACACACAATAATTTCTTAAGCAATTCTTGTATTCAATTGCATTCTCTCTTCCTTGGCAAAAATTTGTGCAATGAGTGAGGGTATTTAATCATTGCTGTTCTTTTGAGGATAGAAATATTGAGAAAAGGTCGTAAAAAAAGTTGGATAAAAATATGAATAATAATATATGGATCATAATAAATAAATCTCAATGAAATATATTTAATCGGCATAATCTAACTTGAACACTTATTATTGAGCCATTTTTTTTAAAAAAACAGCCCTTTGTAAAACGTTTGTTAAAACGAACACGCACATACAAGCATGTGTTTAGACAAGTCAAAACTTGAAAGCAATAATCGCCTAAACATAATTGCATTGGTGTAAACAAAAGACCTTTGCAATTATTTCCTGTCAAGACTTGCATACAATAATCGCATTCAATTTTTTTTACTATATCTGCGTGTAAACTGTTGCTTATAATTCTTGATGGTCAATTATTGTGTGCAACTTATTGCATTCAATTATTGCTCTTGTATGTACAAGAAAATGGCATCTTGTAAATGGGCCTTTAATTTTACCAGAAAAAAAAAAGTTCTTTATCACATAAACAAATTTAGAGAAATGTCGTTTATGATTTTTCCGTTACAAAGTTTGTTATTTATTATTATTCTACCTATTTATTTACAAAAAATGAAAAAGTTTTAGAACAATGTGCAGTGATTGCCAGCATAGTAACAAATAAAAAGAAAAATGATGTGTCTACCAGTCCCGATCATAGGTTTTTAATATTTTAATTGTGTAAAACAAATAAGTTTTATGTATACATAAGAAAGATGGGGATACAGAATAGGAAAAATCTGATAAAAGATAATATAGGTACTACTATAAAACATACAGCAAAATAATTCGCATAAAAGAAACCTGCCGGCGTATCTATCTTTGCGGCTAACGTACTTACGATAAACATTTCGGGTTGCTCGAGTATATTGAATTAAAGGCGAGCGCCCGGACGCTGAGCTATCACGGCATAATGTATACGTATGCACTATTATAGTTCAATATTAGTAGTTTTGATTGGCGCGTTACGATTGGCGCAGGTCACCATATCGGCGAGAGGGCCCACCTGATCGAGCGCGAGCAGAACTACTACTCGGGCGAGGCTGAGGAGAGGCAGGAGTTCATCAACATCGAGGAGGAGGAGGCTGAAGACTTTGACAGGTGGGGGAGTGGTTCGACAAGTCGGTGTGGTTGTACAGAGTAGTGTCAAATACAACAGTGGATCTCAAAAATGTACGTTGTATAGTATAGTGTCAAACCCGACAGTGACAGTGGACGCATCTAAAATTTTCGATATGGCATTACGTGACTGTCGATTATGAAAAAAATGCTTCTTTTAACTTCAAAACCGGTAAGACTCCTACTCATATAGATAAATATAAAAAAAAATAACTGAATTCCAATACGAAATTTAATACAAATAGAGCTGTTTCGAAGAGATGCTTAATATTTATTAATTGCGTATATACAAGAAATATTCGCTCAAACGGTGGAACCTTTAATTTTAGACACATTTTTATTATGGGTGCCCTACCGGGTTATTAATTTAAACACGGTGTACTGGACACTCATAAACTATATTTTCCATAAATATAGACACACGTTAACAAACGAACAAAATGGAGGAAGATACAGCACAGAAGTTAGATAAAGCGAAGGCGACAGAAAAGAATACTTAAAACAGACAAAGGAAAATATTAAAGCAATTGCGCGAGCGTATAGCGGGCCGTGCATTCGCCGAGGTGTAGTGCAGCCGACTGATGTTCCCTGCGTCCGCGCCGCTGGTCGTCGCGCGGATCGTGTGCACGTACACCCCAACGCGCAGCTATACAGCGCACCATCGAAGTTCGCGCGCTTCGCTTGCGCCCCGGTTCCACTCGCTCGTCATCAATATTTAGTGGTCCCTACACTACTCCCCCACCGAGACCGTTGCTTGTCAAGGTCGATAGTGGTCGGTAAATTTGACTGTTCTACCACTTCTAGTTTTTTTTTATAGGCTCTTGGGCCTCGGTGGAATTGCTCCTGTCTTCTTGGGTCAAGTATCCTGGCTTTAACCTGTCGACACCAACAACTGATTCTTTACCTTGTATTAGTATTTTGAATACTTTTTCGCCTCGTTCTAATACTTTGTATGGACCCGTGTACGGTGGTTCAAGGGATCTCGCTGATGGGCCACGACGCAGGAACACGTATTCAGCGGACTTCAGATCTCAGATGCCAAGAAGCCGGGGTTGGTGCGAGATTCACTACATGCTGGCGTAACCTGGTTGCGAAATCTGCGTAATCCGTAGCGACGATTTTTGACGGCGCGAAGAACTCACCAGGAAGACGCAGCGGCTCCCCATAGACGAGCTCGGCTGGTGACGCTAGAGGAAGAATCTCACTCCAGCAGTCGTTGGAGTGGCACATGATAGCTGCTTTTAGTTGTCGGTGTAGGCGTTCCACCATCCCGTTGCAGGCTGGGTGGTAAGCAGTTGTCGGGCGGTGTTGCGCGCCCAGAATCGTGGAGATCTGGCGGAAGAGATGAGATTCAAACTGCTTACCACGGTCAGTCGTGATAATTTCCGGGCAGCCAAAGCGGGCCACCCCACCTGCGATGAAGGTGCGTGCGCAGGTCTCCGCAGTCGTGATCGCAGTCTTACACACGTCAGGTGGATACACTGGTATCTGATTATAAGCTTTCACCAGGTCGACTTTCGAAAATATTTTACTTCCTGCTAATTGGTATGTGAAGTCTTGGATGTGCCGTAAGGGATAACGGTCAGGAACGGTGCGAGCATTGAGTGCTCGGTGATCACCGCAAGGTCTCCAACCGTTATCCTTTTTCGGAGCGAGATGTAGTGGAGAAGACCAAGCGCTTTCTGACCGGACTGCTATTCCACTCTGCAGCATTTCCTCGAACTCCTTTTGAGCGATCTTTAGGCGATCTGGTGGAAGACGGCGTGGACGACTTGAAACGGGTGGTCCCGGTGTAGTCCTTGTGTAGTGCATGGTATTATGCTTACCAGGTATATGCGTTCCAGCTGGCCGAGTTATTTCAGGGTACTCACGCAAAATGTCATGGTAGCTGGACTCTCCTGAGATGACCTTCACGGAAGAGACACGTTCCGTTGCTTTGCAGGCTGGTGCCGGAGTGAAGAGCGAAGTGAGTGAATCAACCAGACGCTGGTGTCGACATCTACTAAAAGGTTATAAAATGATAAGAAATCAACTCCTATTATAGGTTTCGACACGTGTGCCACGACAAATCTCCAACGAAAAGTGCGTCTTAACCCCAGATTAAGCTGAAGCTCCAACCAGCCGTACGTGGGGATTATTGTCCCGTTGGCCGAAAACAACTCTTAATTAGTCTTAGTTCGCTGTTCTCGTAACATCTTTTTAGGATACACACATAAGTCCGAACCAGTATCGATAGGGAAACTTACGTGCGTATATTTGTCCACGACGAAAAGGCGGCCTGTAGAGTTAAGACAGTCGTGAGCCGCTACTTCCGACTGCCTGATGCATTTCCCGACGACGAATTGAAGTTGCACGGTGTTGTACATCTGTTGGCTCTAGAACCAAATTTATTGTGATACCAACATACCCTCCTGTCGAACGATTTTGATCTTGCACGTGGACGGCGACGGTTTCCATTATGGTCACGTGACTTCGAGCGGGCTCGCGAGCGTTCCGAATTCAATTGGCTACGCAAAGAAGCTACTTCCTTGGTTAACTCGGCTATCTGCGTTGCTGTATCATTTGAATATGAATTATTACTAGTGGTCGCAACTTGTGGGGTACACTGTACGATGTCGTAGATACAATCAGCGAGTTCGGCAATTTCCTCTAACGATAATTTACGCTGTGAAGCTACTGCGGTTTGCATATGTGAAGGTAACCGACCTGCCCATAATGTCCTCATGAAGTCTTCTGGCACCGATGGACCGGCCAGCTTCTGCAGGTGGCGTAAAAATTCGGACGGTTTTCGGTCTCCGAGTACCTCGTCGTTGAGGAGTTGTTTAACTTTGGCTTCCTGCGAAATGGACGATCTTTTGATTAGCTCGGTTTTTAATTTTTCGTATTTACCTTCTGCCGGTGGTTTTTTAATTATATCCGATACATGTCGTGCGTACTGCGGTTCCAAATTCGACGTTATATAGTAAAACTTCGTAGAATCTACGGTTATTCCGGCGATTATAAATTGTCCCTCAATCTGCGCGAACCAAACTTCTGGGTCTTCTGGCCAAAAAGGAGGAATACGGACGCCTACTTTGTTAACTTCCGTCATTCTTTTTGTTTGTTGTGCGGCGGTTGACTTTAAAATTTGCACGCGGTCGCGGACGTAGCGGTCGAATGAAGGACGTGTTGCGCGTTTCCATCCATCGAAGTTCGCGCGCTTCGCTTGCGCCCCGGTTCCACTCGCTCGTCATCAATATTTAGTGGTCCCTACATTATTTTGAGAATTATAAATTTGTTATGTCTGTTGAACATGCGTTTATTAAATTGAACAACAAATAACGCGAAATTAAAATTCTGAATGGCGTTTTGCGTATATAATATACGCCTAGAGCAAGATAACGTGACACTTTGGGAAAACCATAAAAAATGATATTTATTATACACGTGGTTGTGGTTCACGTGACTTTAAGTGATTACAGCCGTGTATAACGAAACTTAAAAGTATAAAACTTGTACGTCTTGATTGTTCTCTGTTTGGCTGCGGAACTGCCCTAGCCCGGGATGTCGAAAGTGAAGAAATGCATCGATTTATCAATATTTATAAAAATATCAATACCGATCTGGATATGTCGAAGAGAAAATATCGATATATCGGATATAGGTCCTAGAAACTTCTTTGTCCAAAAAAAGGCCTGTCAAGTATTAAATATTTGACACCTACGTACTTTGTGCCGGATTCGAGTTTGAAGAAAATTTGAAAAAAAATATCGGATCCAAATATATCTAGTCTGAAAATATCGATACATAAAATAAAAAGTACCGATATGTCGATATTCTTTCGACATCCCTTGACCATCCGTGCACGGGCAGCTGTTGCCTGCCCATGTTTCTACTCATAGCGTTCCGTCTGCGTCAAAGGCCACCTCTGTATACAGGGTATCAGGGCATAGTACAACACGCGGCCCCACTGCTGATTGGCGGACTTCACATATTTTCGAAATATTTTTTTTGTTACTATTTCGGAGTACTACTAGTTCAAATACTAGTTTAGAGTTTAATTAAAACCGAAACCGGCCCCGCTCCGCAGGGAGTTCCAGACGAAGGCGGGCGCCGCGCAGCGCGCGAGGCAGCAGCGCGCCGCCCTGGCGGGGCTCCGCGCCCCCTCCCCGCCGCCCGCCCACCAACGGCTCGCGCTCCCCGCGCCCCCCTCGCCGCACGCGCCCCACGCGCACGCCTCCAGCAACGCCACGTACGTACACGCCCGCGCGCACACGCACACGCACACACGGACACGGAGACAGGCGACGGGTGAACGACGAGCGCGCGCACGCACACTCGTGTAGCCTTACGCGCACGCCCCCCGCAACGCCGCGTACGTACGCGCCCGCGCGCACACGCATACACAGCGCACACGCACACACGGACACAGCCGCACAAGCGCGCGCCCGTACGCACACACGGATTCAACATAATTGTAACACGAGAAACAGGTAGACACCACGCACGAGTATGCAAGCGCACGCATACAAGTAAACGGCATACGTGCACACGCACTCACTGATAGCTGTACACGCTTTGCATACCTAATTATGACCCTTAAAGTTGTACAGCTCTCAGATACTGTCCTCATATTATTTTTAGTGTTTTTCAACAAATCTTTCCCTACTAATAGTAAATCGAAATAAAGAAGACCCATAGTGGGTACTCTTGCGCAGATTTTTTTTAAAATATTTAACAATACGTTAATTTGATAAAACCATACCGCTTTTGGTTGGTTCAACATAAATGTTTTACTACAAGCTTACTGGCCTTTTCGATGACCCACGAGATGTAATCTCAATCTAACGAAGGCGCGTGCATCTAGTTAGATATATTATTAGGCATTTTACAAAAAATAACAAACATAACTGTGTGAACACTATCGGAAGCGCGAATAACGTGCCTCGCTACCTTCGTATATATTATTTAATTAAACACGTACACGATTAAGCATACTCCATACAGACAGACATACATCATACACGCCTACACTATGGCGGCCATTAAAGGTCACTCACACAAACATACAAATCGGATTGAGAATCGAATCCGCAACGTTAACACTACCCCACACCTTTTTTTTACACAATAATTGATATTGTACTGGCATGCTTACTCTTTGGGACAATTTTATTTGCAATGCCTCATCGTAACGCTTTATGTAGTTACACGCTTTATTTTTTATCTATGATTGTGTATTTTTCGTCTGTGTATTTATTGGCAAATGCTGTAGCTTGTGTACATAGTATTTTAGATCGAATTTTCCCGACTAAGTCGAGATTGGGCATCGTAGAGGGAGGGGGGCAAACCTCGGAGGCGCAGTTGCTAAACTGTTGGCTTCATCGCCGGAGGTTGTGGGTTCGATTACCACATGGGACATGTATCTGTGCGACCCACAGATAATTGTTCCGGATCTGGGTGTATATTCTCCAGGAACCCTCCTAGAGACGGGAGAAAGGTTTGAAACGGAAAAACAGTTACGGAAGACTCAAAAAATCAAACCACAAAATACTCCGTGTGGGTGATTGTAAGTAACGTGAGGTAGGGTAGGGTGGGTAGTGTAGCGCTTGCGTAGTTAGTGTGAGGCACTTTGCAGCCCGGGAGTCGAACGAGCGCGCGGCCACCGGCCGACCGCGAGGCGACCCCTGCGCTCCCCCGCCAGCCCCCTCGCAGCGCCCCGCAGGTATCTACTCCATCTACACACAATCTACACACACCTACACACACACACCCACACACACACACCCACACACACACACACACATCCACCTACACACACACCCACACACACCTAGACACACACACACCTAGACACACACACACCTAGACACACACACACACACATACACACGCGCGCGCGCGCGCGCGCGCGCACACACACACACACACACACACACACACACACACACACACACACACACACACACACACACCTCTACCCACACCTATACACACCTATACACATCTACACACACATACACACCTACACACCACACGAATACCTCCATATCTCCCACAGTTGGAGTTAATTCCTCAATCTGTTTAGCTCTAACCGCGGAACCATAACATTGTCACTATGCACATATAGTAGCTAATATATAAAAAAATCATGCTAAAACTAAAATACTAAAACTAAATAAGTTTTAAATTATTAATTAAAATCATAATTATTATTATTCAAGATTTACTCTAATAATATCCGGCCCGACTGCACGGTTATTATATTAAGCGACTTATAGCCGACTGATATTATCACAATTGACTTGGGTTCGAATCTCAGAGACATACGTGTGATCGAATAGCAACATAGATAGCAGAATGATATATTATATAAGAGCCATATAGAAGTTTAAAGTAAATTTTCAGGTTAAGAGACTGTTCAAATGATTCAATTGAAATTACATAACTTCGAACACAAAACCTTTCCTAATGTTCACAAAACAGCCTTTCTAATATTTGATAATTAATATTGCAGCTCCCGTTATTGGAGGAGGCGCTATTAGGAATATCGTAACTGTGCTTTCTTATTTACTCAATCTTTATTATCTTTAATCGTACGCTGTGCATAGGCTTTTATTGTCGATTTATTTGATTTAGTTGATGTATTGTTTTATTTGATGTATTTACGCTTTTGAGCACATTGCATGTGGTACAGCACGTCTAGCTCTTATTACTTACACCATTAGCGTACACTCATACCATTCAAAACACCATTATTTCATTAGTAGAAACTGTGATAAACCACTTTCTACTAATGGTTTACTCTAATTTTTTTAAGTGAACAGTTGGCAAGCAAGAAGGCATGCCCGTGCCATTAAGTGATTGCCGCCGCCCATGAAATTCAATACGATTCGCTTGCAGATGCATTGTAAAGAGTTAAAATAGTTATGTGGTGTGCCACGCAACAGTCTTGTCTGTTGCACGAATGGGCAGCTCCGGCCGGGTAAGTATCACGACCTCACAGGAGGCCGGCGCGAGGTGCAAGTGTTTTACTTCTGCGTTTCGTCTGGTGAGTGAGGTAGCCGGGGCCCAATTTATTGAAAGGGTGGCAGTGCATCTGCAACCCTAAGGGTGTTGCAAATGTCATAGGCGGCGGTTATCACTTAAAATCAGGTGAACTGCCAGCTCGCCTGCACATTATCACAGTAAAAAAAAATATTTGGCACCGGATACCTCGTTAAGCAGACGATAGTATAATCCCTTCCAATTCACGGCGGTGTTCTGTGAGGCCGTGGCACTTCCCCGGACGGAGCTGCCCATTCGTGCAACACCAGAAGCTGTTGCATTACCCTACCACAGTAAAAAAGAACCTTGTTAACACCAACGCTTTTTGTCGTTCGATCAAGTTTCCTATATAATAAGCACACATATTCTTCTAACCCCAAAAGAGTGTTTTTTTTAACGTTACTCTCCAGATAGTTCAATTTTATTTAGAATTAAACCTTCGTTGTTGTGTTAATAAGAAGTGTTTCTTAATAATTTATGTCATCAAACGTCCTCACCTCCATGCACATAATGCAATTAGTTGATTGTTATGTCGTATTAAAATTAAAACGAACGATGTAAGTATTTGGTAGAGATGTTCGCTTTGCTTTGGAAGAGCGATATCGATATCCCGTATCGACTTACACAACTCATGTAATTTAGCGATATCGATAAGGTTCAACGACATAGATGTCCCATATAAACAACGATTACTTACCCTAATAAGAGACCAATGAAGCCCTTTATCCTACACAAGACCTTATGGATAGTTGTAAAATAACGCCAAGGTTCTATACCTCGTCAGACTTGGAATAGAATAGAATAGAAAAATCTTTATTGATCGTACACAAACATCGTTTAAAAAAATAAAAAAAGAGAACAAAATAACTAATTTACATATACCTAAATAAAGTTAATAATTTTCATAATATTGGATAATGATAATAAATACAAAGTTGGTGTATGCGACAACCAAAAGGTCGTCAGCTCAGCATAATGCTACGGTTGAGTTAGCTCTGATTTTCAGCTGACGCCTATTATGACGGCGGTAGGGCCACGCAGCAGTCTCGGCTGTTGCACGAATGGGCAGGCCCGTCCGGGTAAGTACCACGACCTCACAGAAGTCCGACGACGGCGTAAAGTGGAAGTATAATACTTTCGCGTTTCGTCTGGTGAGTGAGGTGGCCGGAGCCCAATTTTCAAAAGGTTGTCAACGCATCTGTAACCCTCTGGTGTGGCAGATGTCCATGGGCGGCAGTATTCACTTAACATCAGGTGAACCGTCTGCTCGTTTGACAACTTTTCGCATAAAAAAAAAAAATATATTACCGCCTAATACCGATATTACATCATCTATATCGTTGAACTGTATAACGCCAATTAGCTAAAAGGTCGCAAAGCATTTGCAACCACTCGAACGTTGCAAAAGTCCATGGACGGCGGTTATCACTTAACATCAGGTGAACCGCCAGTTCACTTGCTACCTTCTCACATAAAGAAACGTACTTATGTACGCACGTAAGATGTACGTACATAAGTATCTTTAGCGTAATAAAGGAAAAACACCTAAAATTTTACCCCCTGTGCCAGTACTCTTTGTTTGTAAAAAAAGACATTCGGTTGCCAAGGCGGCAACGATTATGTGTCGTGCATTTAAAAAATCACTCGTGATTTTTCCCAAACGCGCCGAAAGAAGTGTAACTTCGAAAGTCGCCTTCGCCGTCGAAAGCTATTCGAAGAACTCGAATATCGCTCAGTGAACAAACCAATGAGCGGCGAGTGAACGGCGGCACGGCCGATCCGCTTGGGAAGTAAAAACTGAAGAAATATGTCGATATATCGATGTGCCGATATCCCTTTGTCCAAAACAAAAATAGGTATGCCACCTAAGGACTTAAAAAAATGTCGCTTTTTTGATACGATTTCCGATGTTGAATATTTTGAATCGATATATCGGATCCAAATATATCCGCTGAAAATATTGATATCGATATATATATATATACTAGCTGCTGCCCGCGACTACGTCTGCGTAGAGGGGTGAAAATTTAGGGTTGTATGTATTTTTGTATGCTGTGTCATAAAAAAATAAAAACAAAAAATTTTGCCCTAAAAAAATAAAAATAAAAATTTAGGCGTGGACTACCCTTAACATTTAGGGGGATGAAAAAATAGATGTTGGCCGATTCTCCACCCTGGCCGACAATCACGCTAAGGATCACAAAAATCGGTCGAGCCGTTTCGGAGGAGTTCAAGTTCGAACCCCGTGACACGAGAAGTTTTATATATTATATATATAGATATATATATATATATATATATAAATAGTGAAAAATATTTGTTCTGGGCCCTCAGCTCGAGCGTGCGCGACGTGTACGGAGGGCCGCACCCGCAGAGCCACCGCCACAGGCAGCCCAAGCCCGCGCACCGCCACTCGGGCCACGGCAACTGAGCCCACCAGCCGCCACCGTAGACAACCGAGCCGCCAGCGGCCGTAGACGTCGAGAATGGACCGAACCGCCAACTGCCAGCTATGTTATACCCAGTAAATGCGGACGGAAAAGTGTAAGGAGCTATCTGATAACTGCGCAGAGACTGGCTTTGGCCGTACAGTCACTTTTTCTTGCCTAAGTGAGGCTGAAAGTCCATTCATTGGCTATGTCTATGCTAGCGATCGACGTCGTTCATACATTCACTCGTTCAATCGTGACATTTGCAGGTCTAGGTTATTTTCCGTTCTGTTGAAGCGTTCTTTAATTCAATTTTGTCATTCATTTTGCTCGTTCTCATCATTCGCTAGCCGTTGCCGTTCTCTCATTCATTATTTCTTTTCGAGTTTCATTTGTATGTCATTATCATTCATTCACTCTTTCTGTGTTACCGTTCGGAAGGAATAATGTATGTTCATCCCGTCTGTTTCGTTCGTATATAATCGCTCTTAGGCGGAAACGCTTTGTCTTTTCATTTACAATAAATGGAACGAATGAATGAATAATATTGAGACATTTTCATTCGGTTATAAATAAGCCGTATTTGTGGAAAGTCATCGTCTTTTCCAAATAAACATCTATGTATATCACGTTAATCGTCATATAATAATTTTAATGAATTTTTCCAGAGAACATAAAATATGAAAAGAGCCAAAACGCTTTCTAATAAATTTTCATATGAATATTTACAAGTAGTTGATTATAAAATAATGGCAACGGTCGGTTCGAAATACCACTGATAAAATGTATTTGAAGATTGTGATTTCCCAGAGTGTAGAAAGAAATTCATTTGCTAATCTTGTACGTATCTTTTTATCTAAAGGTATTATTTTTATAAGGTCGCTGTCGCTCCTTCTTCGAAAAAGGTATAGATTCTCGTGATACATAAGCCTTCTAGGTCGCTTTAACGCGTGGAACGTTGAAGTCTCTAAGAGAAACTTTGTATTGATTGTGATTGGAGCGTACACCTAAGAAAGAGAGAAACGAAAGTTGATCACCTCTCTTTGTCTATGTTTCCGGTGAGTTTCCTAAGGCGTACGCTCTAAAGTGTGTATTTAATGTTTTTGTAAGTGCTTCATAGCTCCCATCATACGCTGGATACGTTCTTAAGAATCAATTTCGTACAAATAGATGCTTAGACCTCCCTTTGGAGACGGACGCGGGGCCCTTTCGTCTGCCGATGAAATTTGGTCCTTATTGACTGCACAATGAAGTGTTTTCTTTGCTAATTACCTTTATTATTATCATTTAGATGTATTGAGCGCTTAAATAGGCAACAAAATTTCCGCTAGAAGTAAACTTTATTAATACGTATAAAAATTCAGCTAAATAGCAAGTTGCAAGTCAAAATTTTAGCGTAAAATAGAATTTTGTCTATTTATTTATTAAACATTTTGACACGCACTGTTTATTTTATATTTACTTGGTAGCTCTTATTTTGTAGCTCTTCTAACTGACTCGTCGAGATTTCCTTTTTTTTTTACAATTAATTACTGAATTTTGACTTGTTTGACTTAAGTCTAGTGAGAACGGTTACTCGCACTTAAATTAAGTCGCTTAATCTTAACTAAAGCCAAACTTAACTTCTACTTATGTATTAAATACGAATGTGACATTTTGTTCTTTTAGAGTTGAAATTCCTTCGGCAGCCGATCGGGCATAAGTAATACTGTAATTATGAGTCCTCTATGCACCCCACCTTTCCTAAAAAATAGTACGGTTAACATATTGATTATTGATATAAAACTGTGTAATGTGTTTAGAATAAAATCTGAGGTATTGTTTTGTTGACATCTTGAGATCATAAACGAAATTTCTGCAGGTAGCTTTATTTATTTAGTTATTCTAAGTGAACTAACGGATAAATTCGTTTCCACATCAGTTATTATAATTATTTCGTAAGTGATTATTTCTGATTTTCTTTTTGTTTCGTGTTCATTCGACAGGGTTGGGTGATAAGCTGACAGGATAAAATTTCGAACCATTCTCAGTAATCCATAGTTTATTTGCAATTAGCTGTAGGCAATATAATTCGTGTATATGCATTAAGAATTTGTAGAAATATATAACATCTTATTTTCTTATGACGTTAACGGAGAAATGTACTAAAATAAAATTTACAGTTTCCGAGCAAACAATTTTTACAATGATTTGGTTTTTTTTTATTGCGTCTGTTTAAACTTGTTTCATTTTATCATTTGTGTATACATTCTTTACAGTTCCAGGCACAAAAGTATGACTATCGTTTAAAGATTAACAAATTAAAGTAGGTAAATTAAATATGAAATTTCCAGACTTGACATTGTATAGAAGACAAATTAACTTATTAAAATGTCTAATAATATGCTATCTTCCAACATGTAAATTGTCAGTAGAATCTCTAAGATGCTGTTTGAATCCGTTCCTGCAATAAAAAAAATGATTTATCGTCATTATTGGTGATTCCTTCATATCAATTAAAAAATTTGCATACAAGGAAATCAAGATTTCCTTGTGTGCAAGTTTTTTTAATTTGTGCAAATTTTAGCAAACGCCTTGACGTTTGCTAAAATTAATGAAATATGTAGATCGCTTGGCTGGAAATTACCATATATGCGTTTACAGATTTCAGGTGCTACTTGAAAAAAATATTTTTGAGCAATTTTAAAATGTGTATTTTAGGATAAAAAGTTTCGTCTATGAACGAAAGTAAAGCACATTTTTTTTTGCCAAATCGCAGGATTCAACTCACTTTTCGCTAATTTTGTTTATCTTTTTATAAATTGTATTATTATTTCATCTCATGTGAATCATAATAAAGTTGCTTAGTTATTTCCGCATTAGGACGTTCGATATTTTCTCTTTTGTGAGGGTGTAAAATTCTCAATTTCCTGTGTTTAAATAATTATATTTTTAGAAGTATGTAATATTGATGTTAGATTTAAAACTACCAACGTTTATTATTTGTGTGATCGATAGAAATAAATAGTCTATACAAAAGTGCTTTTTATTTTCCTCCATAAAAATCCGTATCACCAAATTACCTACCAAATGTACGAAAGTATTTAAAACTAACATTAAATTACTAAGAACGCTATTATCTACATTGCTTCGAATACTAATGTCAATATATAATAATTCTAAAATGTAATACCTATTTAATTTTTGTAAATTTTCTTTTATGTATAAGTCTTTTATAATAAAATATAATAAAAGTTTTATAATTTACGAAGCTACAATTAATAATTATATCGAGTAAAAAATGTTTATATATTTTGTAAACTTGCCGCAGTCAGAATTTCAGTCAAAGATAGTTTGCCGTATTGTTGTCAGGAACCTTATACGATGCTTTCTGATATGGTATTAAACATTAAAGATACCTTTATTATTGTAAAATTACAGAGACTACTATATACAGACTAACAAATTGCTTTATGTATAAATGCCTGATGTACGAAAGAGTACATTAACTTAATGACAGAGAACCTGTAGTTTCTACGAAGAAAAAATCAAATAGTAATTCTTGAAATACAAAGAACAGAATCAAGCGTTTTACATAAGACGAAAACTCAGTCACTCGGTTAACACCATAATCAAATATTAAAGTTCAGGCTGGAAGTTTTCCTTGTCAATATTATTTTTGTAAAAATGTCACAAAACTTACTAATACGACATAATTAAACATTTAAAAACCTTATAGGTATAAGTAAAGCAAACACAAAAATAACTTACTCTGCAATGTCATCTCTTCCAGTTCTAATCTGCGATTCCGTTTAGACTATACATAACTTTTTCTCATATCACAGTTTAGTTCACATCGGGTTTAGGCCCTAACTGCTATTAGCAGTGTATACCCTATGTTAAAGAGCTTTTATAAGTATACAACAGCCAAATAACTTAATCATTAAACAAAAAAAACGCAAATTAAAATAAAACTTCATACTCAAATTTGTCAAGTAATCGTGTATTAAATTAAAACCAAACTAAAAAGACTAAAAAAAGAACAAAATCCAATGCAAACGAAAAATATAAAATTTTTTAAAAGAAATACATAATAAATGTAGACGATTAAAAAATACTAACTAAATAATCGATCGACTAAAATTGAAAGCAATAAATGGGATAAAATAAAGTTACTATATATGGGATAAAAAAAGATTGGAGGGCAGTTGTTTTCTCCTCCGTTTTGGCGCCTTCGGCCATTTTATTGTGGGCGCCATTTTGTAGAGGTGGTTAGAGGCAGAGGCGACAGATATCGTCGTTGATCTCGAGCGTTTGGTCTATGAACGACTTGTTCGATAGCACTTTCGAGAGTTTGCAGATGATTGTGAACAGTTCGCCTTTGGAGTAGTTCATCTGGGCGTTACACATCTCGACCACTTGCGTGATGTTGGCCGGTACCTGCAAACGTATACAGAAAGAAATTAATGAGTAATAGCGATTTGCGTAGCGTAGCCTTATCGAAACTAGTGATGTCGAAAGTGAAAAAATATATGGATATTAATAAAAATATCAATGTCGACCTCGATATATCGGATATAATCTTAGAAACCTTTGTTAAAAAAAGGTATTTTAATTATTAAATATTTGACACGTACGGAATCAGTGCCGGATTCGAATTCGAAAAAAGTATTGTTGTTAATATATACTTTGCAGTTCATCTATTGCGACGTCAAAGTTGAACGAAACAGGGCCTTTTGATTGTTTACTTCATAGACCATATATGTATGTGTTGTATAAAACTAATAATTCTCACATGTAACCAGTGCTTGTTTAGAATCATGTTTTGAAAATTTTTTTTTTTATTTTTTTTATTCTTGAAGGGCAACCTTATATTTTTAAAAACAGTGTATCTATGTTTAAATTTTCCACAAATATGGTTTCACTGAAGTAGACCATAGTATTTTTTTCAAGATTTGATATAAATATGGCAGGGTACGTTGATAATTCAAACCCAATTGAAAATTATTAATATTTTACCTATCTTTTCGTGTACATTTGGATTACAATAAATGTTTAATTAATTTTGTTATTCATTTAAGCGAGAAAAAAATCTATGAAATAATTTCATGGAATAATAATTAATAATTATTTCTTTGTCCGAAATAATAATTTAAAATTATATGGTTCCCATTTTGATTATGCACGTGATGCGCACTGGACATTAATAACACGCTCAAACGTATAATGAAAACGACAAAGGTAAACATTAATATGAATAATTGATCTAGAGCAAATGCGCGCGGGGCGTCCTTCGTATGAAAATTATAGAAGAATTAAAGTAAGCCATTATTATAGATAATCGTTTGTATTCATACATAGTGTATATATACGATATGCCGATGTGCATCTTTACGTTATATTAGTTACGGGTTTGATCCGATCGAGTTTTATATCGCAACTATGTTGAAATAAAATGTATTTTAATTAGTTTAAATTTTTATTATAACCGTAACTATAGCTGCTCTAGAGTTATAGTTACGGTTATAACAAAAATATTATTTTCATCGAACTGTATTGGTATAAATGATTTAAAAGTTTCAGTTATAAAAAATACCCATATTTTTAGATACAGAAGAACAATATTTCCGCTAGGCGCTTATTACAGGTCGATTATGAAATTGTTACATCGTCATCAGTGTGTCAAAAGTTTGCGCCAAAAGGAGTACAATTAAAATCATTTAATTGATCTATCAATATAATATCGATAATAAAAATCCTTAGGTAAGTATCGCGTTTGTATTTATGAAGCACACATGCCTCTAAGATATACATTCTAAAATTTGTTTGTAGTTTTACAATACATTATATATATTCTACCTAAAAAGTCGATAAATATGATTTGAATCACTATACACTGAGATTTATCTGAAAATATATGTATAATGCAGCGTTGTGAATTGCCTACATCAGTTTCTGATATCGTGTTACAGTATCCTAAATACCTTAGATTACTGACAAATCACGATCGACGAAACAATACTTGAAATCTTTGTAATTTTAATTTCATAAAATTTTTAAATTGCTAGCTTTTAAATTGGGATAACGCTGCCTTTTACACAGATTACAAAAACATCGTTACAAAAAAATTATTAATTTACTTAGTTGCACCTACAATTAATTAATTTGAATTGTCAATAAGACTAAATTTGTAGAAAAGTAAATTATAGTGAAGATTTTGGTTAACAACAATCTTACGTGGTCTCCGTTATAACAATGCCTTGTAAACATCAAGCTTCACGGAGTTTGTATCAGAAAACAAACATCTGACACGTGTCGGTAACGTTGTTTTAAGATAGTTTAAATGTAACGGCTTGCGTAACGCATCACGCGATGCGCTAACCGATGCTTAAATGATTACATCACTTTTATCAAGAATCGATACAGATAAAGTACATTATCTGTATCGTATATAATTTGTTTATTAGAGGATGGCACTTAGAACTTTTAAAAACTATAAAAGTTATCAAATATTGTTTACGACTAAGAATATTAGGTACGTTATGTTTATTTACGTTTGATTGACTAACAAGGTGACATCCACTCGTAGATATAAGCTGTATTAAGCTCTTATTGAACGTCAAAAAACTACCACCGGTCCATTTAACTAGACCTGTCCAGAGTCCAGAGAAGAAACGGCACGAAAATCTGCGGTCTTGTTATATTTTTAACTAGCTGCGACCGCGACTTCGTCCGCTTAGAATTTAAAATAAATAAAATTTCTAAAATAAAAGTAGCCCAAGTTATTTCCTATTACATCAGCTGTGAAAGTCCCGTTAAAATCGGTCCATCCCTTTCGGAGATTAGCGGGAACAAACAAATAGACACACAGACCGACTGACAAAAACTGTGAAAAATGTCATTTTGTTATGTGTAACGGTTATGTGTATCCATATAATTTTATTAAAATGCGGTTATTTTGATATTACAAACGGACTCCCCAATTTTATTTATCTGTATACTGTATGTATATTATACTTTTGATGACATATGTGATCAAACATTCCGCATAAGCTCTGCGAGTGGCGACAATTGAACAGTTTGGACACTCACCGATTCGCGATCAGTGAAATTCGCGAACTTATACTTGATCTTGATCTTCTCCGAGCCGTTGTCGAAGAACAGCGTGAACTGCGCGTCCTTGAAGGGCGCACCCACCGGGAAATAGAGGCCGGCTGTGACGTGGCCCTTCTGGTCGCGAGCGAGAAGACTCCTGAACAGAAAAATCTTCTTTCAAATTCATTCTTCATCTTCGTTCTATGTTTTTCAACCGTAAGGACATTGCCTGTATCGAATCGCAGGCATGTTTTAAAAATTTTTATTGTGAAATGCACTAGTTATTAAGATATAATTTGAAACTCGCGATAATTGTTCAAATATTACTGCCGCAGAAAGTGGTTGTAACTTTCGGTGGAAAACCAAAAAATACCGTAAGGACAGCCAGTCAAAACAATGTCTTCAGGATGATGCAGTATTAGAAAACTATTATATGCGCAATTTGCACGAGTCAAAACAAAGACAGTAACTCATTGTCGCTATTGTAACCAATTTGCGGTAGCAGTTGCACTAGACTTTGGACAGAGGAAGAAGTAAATTTTTTATGGTCATCGTGTGATTAACTCGCCAAACATGGACATCTTCGAAACCTGTGGGTTTATAGATGTGTTGTGAGTCTTTAAAAAAAATGAGCCCAGCTTACCTCACTCGTTGGTGCTTCCCCGGATGGGCCTACGTATCTTCAACGCATTTGCAAGCCCTCTGGTGTTGCAGGTGTCCATGGGCGGCGGTGATCACTTACCGTTAGGTGAGCCATGCTCGTTTGACACTGTTCTCCATGAAAAAAAAATCGCGCCCACAGCAGCCGAAAATCTCCGCTCAAGCCTTCCCACCTGAAGTTGTAGACCAGGTTCCGTCTCTCGGTGACATTGACGCCGTCCAGGTACGGCTGCGCAACGTACACTAGCGACGTCTGTTGCTTCTCGACATCGCCGCGCACTTCCTTCTCGCGCCACTCCACGTAGCGCGAGTCCGCCGGGCAGAAGGCGTAGCTGTACCTCTTGCAGCCGTGCTTCTCCTCCGACTGGGTGAACCAACCTTTAAGAGGAGCGGGCCCGTTAGGGTTGTAGCTCAAACGTTCTTATAGTTTGAGAATACCCTAGCTGGACTGGATGAAGCCGATTCAAGGTCGCCATGGACAATTGAGCCTACCAGTGGACGCAGATATGTTGACAACCGTGAAGTGAGAATACTTCTGCTTACCTCATAGTCGTCTGTGAGGCCGAATCAGAACAAAGGAATAGTATTTGTTTTGGTTCCTCAGGTTTTGCGAGTATCCATGGGCGGTGGAGATAACTTATGGTAAGTGACAGAAAGTTCTGTGTGGCAGTTAAACGCGTGACTTATAAGAGATTGCGATAGACGTGGTTGTCAAACATATAAGACACGTACAGAAGATGTATTTGAGTCGATAAGCGTTCGTGTACCTTTACCTTGTGCAACGGACGATTTGAGTCAAGTGAATTTGTTATTTCAAAGGGCAATGCAATGTCTTCAGGATCAGCTAATATTGGAAAAACCCCGACGGTCATATTATCACTTCGTACGTGGTCAGTACTAGTGCGCATTTAAGTTAGCACGTTAAGCATGTTAAGAATTCTGAATAAATTGATATGACAAAAAAATCGATAAAAGATCTATTAACGGGCACGTACAATATGAAGGTCGAACGCATAGTGATCAGATGTATATTTATAGCGATTGACGCGGAAAGATCACAGCTCAGTATATAATTGTAGGGAACTAAACTGAATAACTCACCGGTGTGCGGGTAGGCGCTATCCATCATCACGGTGATGACCATCGGCACGTGGTACCCGGGGTCCGCTAGCAGAACACCGGGCCGGCCGTCCACGGAGATCGTGACGCAGACCATGACGTGCTCCTTCTCCGCCGCGGCCATAGTCGCCGGCCCCTCGCCGCCCCGCACGTACTCCCACACATCTTCGACCGCCTCCTCGCACGACACCAGCGCGGTGGCGGCGATCAGGCCCCTCCACTGCTTCTCCAGGCAGCGCAGCCGCTTGATCAGCTCTATTCCGAGCCCGACGCACGTGTACCTGCGCCGCCGTATCGGCGGCGAGTACCTGCCGAACAGTTTGCGCAGCGGCCCGCCGTACTTCGAGTACGCGTCGTGCAGCGAGATGAAGTTGCTCACTGAGTCGTAGTTCTCGGTGGTGAGGAGACGCCGGACGACGGCGTCCGCGCTGGCCACGAGGTGCTCGTGCTCGGCCGCTGTTAGGGGCAGAGGCGCGCGGGGCGTGTCCCAGCGGGCGCGGGGCAGGGGCGGGCCGCGGCGGGGCGCCGAGCCGAGTCAACTCGGCCACTCGGCGCCCCAACGGCCGACAGGGGGCGCCCCCGCCTCCGCCTCCGCTCCGCACTCGCGCATCGCTTCAAGACGGCGAACATACTCGTGGCAGCGCTCGTCGATGACCTCGATGGTCTTCACGAGCGCCTCGCGCCGCCGCTCTAACACCAATGTAGAAGATCTTTCACGCTCTGCGGAGAGGAAAGATTCAGTTCGTTACGGGGAGTGTTGCACTGTTGGCGAGGAAAGGGCTAGCGTATTAAGAAAATAGTTATTTTACTATCATCAGATAGTAAAGTAACAGCCTGTGTATATCCCACTGCTGGGCGAAGGCCTCCTCTGTACAGACAGAGGGTATTCTGGCGGACTTGACATATATATTCGAAATATTTATTTTTGTTATTACTTCGAAAATATGCAGGTTTCCTTACGATGTTTTTACTGCACCCTTGAGCAAGTGATAGGTCAGCACTCTAAATTAACAATTTTATAGGTGCCGGGACCGGGGATCAAACTCAGGTAGCACAAGAATATTGAATTAAAAGCGAGCCCCCGGACAATGAGCTATCACGGCTCATGATAGTCCCCACAGATATTGGTTATGTACATAAATATTAAGACGCGATATCATCATCATGATTTAATTATTCTCCTGCCTGTATCGATGTAATTGTTTGTAATCGGCACATTTGTCGTACTGGCTAGGTTTTTTACGAACGGTTCGTCGGCCCATCGTCTCTCTATGGGAACAAACACCCAGATTCGGAACAATTATCTGTGGATCACACAAAAACTTGTCCCGTGTGGGAATCGAACCCACGAACTCCGGAACCAATGCCTCTTATTTTTTTCACTTATTCGCATGATGGACTATGGTATCCTCCTTAAGAAGGTATCGCTTTTTGACAAGCGGTATCCAGTCAAAATTTAATCTCGTACGAAAAATTCTATTTTACCATTACAAAGTATTCATATATAAGTAAAAGCGCACATACGACACATAATTGCTTTTAAACCTACACAATATACAATTATTGTATATCCCCTTTACTGATGAATAAGCACCCACTAAGCTTACGTCATTAGGTAATACGTAAATCGTAAAAACCAATGACGTCAAGGTTCCATAGAAAGTAACTTTTTTGCGTAGTTCATCAGCGACTTCGAGTATCACCCACATTCCATAATGTGAAAAATAAATTATGTATACTTGAAAAATAACATCGGAATCTGATGGACATTTAAAAGTAATTAGTTAAATGTAAATGAAAGCCCATAATAATAATATATGAGATACAAAAACCAAATAAACAATGTTAACGACACAATTACTATTTGCATCGAAACTAATACTCGTTATCTTATCTCTTCGATTTGTACTAAAATGTACTGCGTATCTTATCAACCTATCAATTTAATCGTGACCATAAATATCGACAAGGTAACAAAATATTCATTCTTAAAGGAAAGACTTATCGCACGTAATAAATCTTTTAGCCGCAAGCCATTGATGGAGAATTGCCGCCTTCGGCCTTTATCTTTTCCCCGCGTCTCAAATTTCAAACCACAGCGGTCTTAACAAAACAAACAATGTCATAATTAAAGTAATCATTTAAAATACGAAATAACCAACAAATTCACACAAATAATTCGTATTCTCGGCAAAAAATAACAAAAAGGTATTTTTATTGTTCATACGAGTATCCATTTTCATAATCCGCAGAACCATTCTTTGTAGCACGCTTGATTTATTTTTTATTTTCTTGCCTAATGCAACCGTTTTCAGCGAGAAAAATGAGCGCACAGTACTCTAAAAATATAGTTAGGACTTCACTATGGTAAATATAAGTATAATTACAAATAAAATGTTTGCCTGTGAGGAAGTTTATTTTGATACTAGCTGCTGCCCGCGACTACATCTGCGTAGAATAGCTAAGCTGAGGGCGTTACATTCAGACAGAAAGACATAAAAATACATGTACATAGTAGCTATATCATTGTAAAGGGTCGATAGAATCCATTCAGTAGTATTTGCGTGAAAGAGTAACAAACATCCATCCATACATACAAACTTTCGCCCTTATAATATAAGTATGGATTTAAGACAACTTTAAACAAGTAGTTGGCACTCGTTTTTTAGTATTCAATGAGGAGTCGTTGACAATTAAAAAATAAATGATTTATCAATTATTATAACACATACGATTTAGCATTTTATTCTGTATTCCAAAAATTAACAATCTCCATAGACGGACTAGTAAAATAGCAGTTATTATACTAGCAATAACAGTTATTTTATGCATATTGCATAATTAATCTTCTATATAAATAAAAATGAATCTTGGTAAGCGCATAACTCATAAATTACTGGACCAATTCGGCTAATTCATGTTCCTTATGCTCCTTACTGTTTTAATAAAAAAAAGTAATAGTAGTAATTAAGTCAAGATTCTTGTGCTCTTTTTTTCTATCTACAAAACTATTCGTCTTATCTATTTTAAAGCAGTTTAGTTGACCAATGAACGAGTGTTTTTATAAAACCGTCATGTGACAAGAATATACGTTGTGCGATACGATGTACTTTGTACATTAAATTCGTGATAAAATTTTTGCAATGCAGTTATCGAACGTAACACAAAGGCGTTGGTATTAAAATCCTGTGAGATATTTTAACAAACCATTGTCTGTATAGTGTATAACATAATTAGAGGCCTTGTGAGTCACATGGTTAATCATCGAATAAAACCAACAAATAACCCACTTTAACACAATAAAATAAATTTATCGTATCCTGAAGTATTCTTATTACAATAAAATTAATTTTAACAGCTATGAAATTTCTGATTATAAGGTACCTACAAGGTGTCATTAACCTGGCTTTCATTATGAAGCTATCAAAAGTTTCTAAATAATAACGTAATCTTCGGTTAGTTAGCTGTCATTCCATTATTTGGTAAATGTAAATAACTTTAATCGGAGTTAAAGTTATTTACATTTACCAAATAATGTAATTCAATTAAAATCTCTAATGAATTAATCAACAAGCAGAATTTGGCGGTCGCTTATAGTTTTCGAGAAAAAAAATATTTAAAACTTGTTTTTTTGTACTAAGAAATCCACCATTTTATTCGTTTGACTTCAAAAGTTCTTTACACAGTTCTGCCAACATGATAAATATAGGAAGCGGGCGACATCATACACGTATCGATATTCCGATTTTTTAAATTTAATGAGTCACAGAACCGACACAGAGCGAATCCGACTCGGATAGATTAGGTTCGATGTTAGGTTTTTTTTTTATGACCACCAAGAAATACGAGCTGAATTGACATATTGACAACAAAAAATGGCGGATTTCTATAGTAAAAATCACACTATTTCATTATTTATTTTTTCGAAAACTATAAGCGGCCGCCAAATTCTGCTTGTTGATAAATTCATAAGTGAGTTTTCTCTATCGTTTAAAATTTATTTGATTTGAATTACGCCGGAGTTAAAGTTATTTACATTTACCCATTATTTATATGACATAAATAATCGTTATCAGAACGTAGAACGTAATCTTGCTTTCAACCGGTGTATTTATTGGATTAAAATTCTTTGTATCACTTTCTATTTTAATTGTTTTCGAATCCAAATAAATATGGTTTAGCGATGGGAAAACGAGGAGTTTAATTACCCAAAACTCAATATTTGCATAACACAAACACTATAGAAATCGATTTGTTCCTGTATGTTGGTATAGATTCAAAGTTTTGATATTGATTTCGTTGAGAGATAATAAAGAGTAAAAACATTTTAAGGGTTATGTATCTTGAAGGAATAAATATTATTAAACGTGTTGAGTGGTCGTACATGATTCCGGTAACACATTACTTTGATCATATTCAGTTGTCAGTGTCAAAAAATATACATATTTCTTACATAAAGAAAAACTTATCGTAAACATTTGTAGAGTTCATATTTCAATTGAACTGGTTATTGCTCTAAAAAATGGCGGCTACGACGAAAGACAATCCGCCTTTTAGGCATGGGCAAAAAATATCGATATATAAAAATATCGATATTGCTCCAAATAAATATCGATATATATCGTCGATATTTTTATTCCCGATATATCGATATTTATTTTCGACTATCGAATTCGAGCAAATTTCGATATGTTTTTTAAACGCAACGGCCTAGTAACAAGACATTTAAGCTAATACCATGAAAATACTAATTACTAATACTATTAAACCATCAGTGTGAGGCGTTGTGTGGATTGTTTGTTAACTTCAGGCGATCCTGAAGTTAACAAACAATTAACAATAATTTAAAAATTAAAATGAAGAATCCACAAAAAAAAATCACCTTAAAAAGAAGTGGAATTCAAAAGTATCTAATTTGGCAGGCTTCTTTACTGTCTCCAGAATTGCTTCAGAATTAATCTGATAGTACCCAACAATAGAAACCGTTTGACATTAAACAGAAGGTGCTCCTTATGTCCATATCAGATGATTATGAGTTCGAATAAATTGTATTCGAATGAGTCGATTATTAATAAATATTACTTTTTTATTCGTATCAATTCTTTTTCACGAATTTTGAATGGTTTGGAAATATAAATAATTAAAAAAAATACCTTAAAAAATATATCGATAGTTTTAAAAATGTCGATACGATAAATATCGATATATTTTTTTACTTGCCCATCCCTACCGCCATTGATGTCCATGCAACGATCACGAGATATTGCTATTGACGGATCGGTCAACTGTTGCGTGCACTTTTTGACGTTTGATTTACGTTCAACAAGCTGTGAAAAGTTTTCGTCGGACTACTTATTTTTTTTCTAAGTTTTAAAATAACTATTGGCGATGCAACTATGACAAAATGCGTTATTTTTTAGTTGAATTTATGGCTCATATATCAAATTACATTTTTGCGTGTATCATATTACTTTAGGTACTAAAGTGATTTTAATCGGGCCTCTAATATCATTCTCATACAGGATCCCACTATGTTTTTTGTAATTCATAACTTGTGTTCTTACTCTTAAAGGGGCAATACCCACATTTTATGTTTGTCTCTGATATTACAGCTTTGATAAAAATAACCTCATCAAAATAAGGATGAAGCTGTGCGTATATGTGCTCTTTTCTTATGATAATATATTTGAACTTCCTTGCATATATTTGTTATTGTTAGGAACATATGTTTGTGTCGTATTGCTTTGATTGGCTCAGTCTTTGTATAACGTAAGAAATAATGCTTTCGCAATGCCACCTTTCTATTGCACATCAACATTTTTGTTCCACAATTATGTATAGACCCATCCTTTTCTTTTACTTTCGTCATCCATTTATATACGCAATATATATATATGTAAAATTTATTTACCTGCCGCTTTGTAAAAACATTAGGACTTTGGAGAATCGTGATTCACACCAAGAGTTTTAGCACTGCCAGTCATAAAGACGAGAGCAAAGCACTGGAACGAGTTCACGAGGTATGCGTGCCGTTCTGTGAGTCAGATGGTGTCTGTTGTTAATGACTAATGTTTAAATCAGGAAATTTGTTTGAAGATCCCCTTACGATTTTACCCACGAAATTAACGCTAGAACGTTAACCTGGCTTTTATGTGTTTTAGTTTTCATTTCACCAAATTGGATAGCCTTACATCACTATCAGTATTGGCGTGTAATCAATATAGTCCGGTGGCAGGACTATATGAAGGATGAAAGGATTCTCATTAGCGAGCAACCATTACCGAGTAATAATTCAAAGGTAAAAATGGGTTTTGTTTTTTTTTTTTTACTTGTGCAACCTTTAAAGTCCCAGTTTTTTCAAGAATCCTGATAAAGAAACTAATGGTAGGAACAACAGAATCGACAGACAATTGTAACTTATTCGTTGATTATTAAATTCGCTAGGCAGCAGAGCATTACTACAATGAAAAGTTCAGGCGGCTGAAAATTCTTGCAGCACTCGTTATCCTCGAACTAAGTTCAACTCGATGACTCGCACGGCTCGAACTAAGTACAGCTTAAACGATTTTCTATTTCTACCTAAATCTTGATGGCGACAGGTCTTGCATATCTTGGTAGATGAACATAATCATTTACGTTGATAGTAGGGGCGCATAAACTACACTAGTGCATGCAAAGACCGATAATCGCAATGGGAAATATGTGACCATGTTCCACTTTTGGCCGCACGTCGTACCACGTTAGCAAGATGTAGGCTATTGTGTCAGTGCCCCATTGCGGGCACATGTGTGGTTGTAGTATGCTTGGCACCAAGTGGGCATTCTTTTCAAAGTTCCCGCAAGAATTTACGCATCTAGGCGGGCGGAGAAATCCTTACTTCAAACTTAAAGCAGACTTATATTTCGCCGTACTGTGTTTTGTTATTTTTGGCGTTTTTTGCTGTCAATGACTTTTTTTTTTCAAAAAATTTTAGTGTTGTGACAGTCACAATTTTATTTACATTTGTTGTGTTTTCTTTTTATATACTTACTCAGCCTAAGACTAGGTTACTGCGGCATGCCTTCTCGATTAGTTTCCGCCGTGGTGACGTGTCGCTGTTCAAACTATGGTAATTAAAGGTAGTCTCATAAAACCTTTAAACACTTCTCAGTTAGGCAACTAGGCCAATGACTTGAAAAGGGCTTGTAAATATTTCCCTTTGATGATTGTTCTCATAACCAATAATATAATATTTGAAAATGCAATCGACAAACCCTTTTTCAAATTACCTTTTTACATTCAATGATATTATTATATTTTTATGAGATTTTAGATAATTAGTTTTTTTTATTATCAACCTAGAACCCAAAACAGATGAGAGGAAAATGTGCGGATTTGGCTTACGCTTTAGGTAATGAAAGTTTGCTGTTTTTTATGAAATTTATATTTCGAGGAAGGATTCTCGAATAAAAGTAATTTTTGTTACTGATGATAATGAAAATATGAAATTTTCACTTCTGATATTCAATTAAAATTATTGTCGGACTACCCATATTTGAGATGAGATGTTTGATAAAATCAATGATTTTTTTGTTCTTATAATTTTAAGTATACATTAGCTTATAATTAATGTAATTATTATATTATGAAGTATTGCCACATATTTCAGTTTTAGAACTTTTTTGGCGTTTGTAAAAATAATGGGAGTAAAATTTTTACGAATCGCGCGCACACAATTTCACCCTCAAAAAGCGACATTATATTATTATGTGAACTTCACATAATTAGTTGTTTGCTATGGTAATACCGTTGATATTGTTACTGTTGTAATGATGATGATGACAATTGTTCCGACAGATTTCGGCCATGGCGACCTCTACGACTCCCAATTGACTGTTGTAATAAAGTTGGTTGCAAAGGACAACGTTGTTATTGGTTGCCACGATACCATGGCAACCAATAACAACTTTTTGACATTTAACTAAAATTCCAGGTTATTTCATTAAACCGCTATCAATTTTAGGCAGCCGTGACAGCTTATACCAGTATGGCTGCTGTGTTAAACTTTCCAATATAATTGATGCTGCTATTAAATAGTGTTAGTTATTATGTAAAATAGACTGACTGAGTGAATGAATAAATATTTAAAAAAAAATATCATTTGAAAATTACTTATCTTTTTCACAAACAAAGAATAGGTACCTACGTGCACAGGGGACAATTTTTAGATATTTTTCTTTTATTTCGCTATAGAAATATAAGTAACTTATAACGGGTGTACACATCCTTTTTTTTTAATTAAGACGATTTCAGTTTACCTCAATTTATGGATTTGGTTAATAAATAACCTACATCGTATGCTGAACTGCATAATGTTTGGTCATAAAAGTAGTAAATATCAGTTTTTAAGACATTTGTAATTGTGTTATTTTTTTTTCAATCCGTAATTATTTCTTAATTGTTAGTTAGATATGCTAATGACACTAAATACGCTCGATAAGTATCGTTATGTGCATACTGTAAATTACGATTGCTAATTTTCTTTTCAAAATGATATTAGTAATATCTTCGATATTATGATATAATTATCCTGACAACAATACGTCGATGAGTGAATTGTGGGATAGATAAAACATCAGTATCGTAGACCTGTTCATTTGCTGGGAGAGACACTGACCTTTACGCCTACGACGAATATCATAGAACTACTTTGCCCTAAGCGTTTGGAACGCTTATTCGCAAATATCCACAAATAATTTCGCCTAGGGTCAACTAACTTCTCTATATGCTGAAGGAACGGAGATAAAATACTTAACCTTGTTGACATTAACGTTGGTTCTAATTCTTATCTTTGTTAACTTTTAAACTATAATAAACATGCAAACAGAAATATTTTATAAATTTATAAAAGTATTGTGCAACATCGCAAATAATAATTATTATGATTTTATAGACTTTTAAATGTCAATATCGGAAACAGTTTTCATTTAAAGAAAACGAGGAGATCAATTGTTTCTGAATCGTTGGCCACGTAAATCGTGAAAAAAAGTGTAGGTTTTACTTTTTTCGGTATCGTCGAAAACCAACATACATAATTTCATTTGTATTATATAATTTAAAAAGGAATCATATAATGGTGTTGGTGTAACCAACCAGACATTTGGATAACTATGCCATTATATACTTAATGAGAGTTAGAGTATAAGAGAATAAGAGTTAAATATAACGTCATATACTATTATTACTATAACACTATTTCACTACAAACAATAGTTTGTGGTGAAAGTTAATTTTGATATTTCGGCTTATATTAATTATTAACAAAAATATAAGAATGGTATAAAAACCTTTTTTCTTTCCCCGCGCATTACGTCTAAACTCGAAATAGGTCAGCAAAGCATAGAGCCAAGCCGTATTTTTGAAGTTATTTTATGATAATAAATTATTTCGACAACGTCTATATTGCTAATCTAGCAAACTTTTGATGCTTTCCCAAAACATTATTACAATAAAACTATAATTATTCGTGGTACGCAAATAATAAATTATTCAAAGTCATTATTGCAACAGAAAAATATCTAAAGTCCTCGCTCCGCTATATTAAACTCGGCTTACAATAATAATTATAATCTAAATATAAAACAAAACAATGCAAAACTTAAAGTGAGAGTGAAATAATAAACAATGGCTAAACCCACGTCGCACGTGGCAAAAATAATATTGTATTTTGTATTCGTTTGTGACATAACAGAGATATTTTATACTATTTAACATTTATTTTCATAGTATTATTAGGTGCCACATGACTTTTCGGCAAGTCGTGAGCCATTTTGTTAAGTAAGGAACAAGTTTAAAAACACGCTGCGGATAACGCAGAACGCTAGATATAGAGTAATTCGATAATAAAAATTCGAAAGTACTGTAATGCGTACTGCATTAAAAACATGTCACAGAATCGGTAAACTGATCTTTGTTTACATGAAACACAAAAACAATTTTTATCCGCTCTTTTTCGTTCGTACGTACTAACTCCTTACGATTACGACGTACATTAGAAGCGTCGAAAAAAATTTGATAGGAAATTTGATAACATGTAAAAGTTTTTGCAGGAGATAATAAATATCTTCAACATAAATTTACTCACCCATACAACGGCTAGAAGCCAAATAAAAAAGAAAAATAGATCGCTGCCTTTTGGGCGCGCTCTATCCGAAACGGTTTTCCCTCCGCCGACAACAGACAAACTGATCGTTGAATAATGGTTGAGCCCGCGCTATTATAGTAGAGTTACTAACTGTAGTGATTAGAAATAAATAGCTCCCGTTATTTCGTTTTATAAGTTGTTGTAACAGCTATTGTTTAAAAACACGAAAACAAAACAACAACGTGCTAGAATTAATTAACACAAATTGGTGTTATTCACGACAACTAAAATATTATTATTTGAGCTTTCGTGAATAACAATGACAGCACTGACTTGGGTAAAAATATTTTAGAAATTTATTTCATCTAAGTCTTATGATTTATTTGCTTTAATCATCACTCAACATAAACGATATTTATTATAATAATCTGTACACATATTATTTATATGTAATCTCTAGTTTAGAATTTTAATTTTCAAATATTTCGATACTTAATATTGACAGTTTCAGAATAAAATCATAACTTAATTTTTTAAGTTTATTTTACCAGCATTTAAGCAATAAGATTGATAATTTTACTGTTGTTATAATAAACAGGTTAAAAATAACAGTTGTCGTCTATATGGGTAATAGCATCTCAATTGTAAATCACATCACTCATCTGAGTGCCACACACAACATGGCAACCGGACCACTGCGCAAGGCAGCACATGCTTGCGTCCCTTCACCCCTTCCCGCCCCGTTCGCTCAGCTGACTACGCGTCAGTCTGCCGCCAATGCATTTTTCATTAATAAAAGCGGCACGTCTAGACTGAGATAGCTGATGCCGCGAATGAAGATCACGTCATCGAAAATACAATTACAATAAATGTATGCGATAAACAAAACATTGATTCTGTTGTTAGTGCTACACGCGTTGACCAAGTGTAAATTACACGTTTTAGTTAGTCGTGACTCGAGCGTTATCGCCCTATCGTATTTTATTTAGACGAATTAGATTCAGTGAAATGTATGATTCGGTGTTATTAAACTGTAGTCATGACAGTGACACGTGAAACAGTTGTACTCCTTTGACCGCAGTTTTGTTTTAATGTCAATCAATTATATTTATACTATGCTTAGGTTAAGTAATAAGGTAATGAAATAGGGAAACTTACGTTTACAACCATAACTATTGTGATTGTTTTGAAACCTTATTTATGTTCAATATTTTTATATTGTTCTTTTTTTTCTTTTTTTTCATTACAGTAACAGGATAAAACGCATGATGTGGTTACTTATTAATGTGAGAACTGTTATATATTGTACTATTTAACAAATAATTTGTATTTATCTTAATTGGCAGTAATACAATAAATAAAATAAAACAAATGTATTATTAATTTTTATTACGTCATCCAAAAAAATAGCTCTTGAAAAAGCAATTAATGAATTAAGCTGGAGTACCCAGACAACCTCTAACTAGTGATGTTAAAAAATTAATGATTGTCTGTCCTGTCTAATGTCTTTTTTTTAAACAGTGTTGTATTTTTAATTTCATTTATTTAGACATGTACAGTTTGCATTGTTGATTCACTGATGATTTTAATATCAAAATTACACTTCCTGTTAAAATTTGACAAGCAAAATATCGTGTTTTGTTACGAATAGCAAATTGATGAAATGTGGTGTGTTCATTCTCATCTCAAATAGAAATAATCACCAGAATATTTAATAATTAAGAAAATTTCTGAAACCTCATTCTAAATATTTATCACAAAGATGGTGGTAGTAAACCAAAGCAATAAGCTGGCAGATATTTAACTCTCATATTGAAATAAAATGTATGTAGGTATTTCTAATTTTTCGAAATTGGAAGTTTAAAAAACTATAGGTTTTGACCTTTGCGCTCAGATCAATAAAAAAGTATAATATTTTTATTGGTCCGAGCCTTTGCGAATGCACGCCTCGTGGCGGATTTTAAGCGAAACTAGAAATTGACCAAAGACATGCCGGTGACGCCTTGCGAGTTGCCACAACTCACAACACAACATCATTGACGGAAAAATTATTAGAAAGCTAGTAGGCATTCAACGATCCGTTGGTTTAAATACTTATTCGGTATCTATATACTATAATAAAAGAGTAGAATCGGCGTGTTTGAACATTGCACATATTTAAAAAAAAATTAAATACGGTATCATAAAAAGAGTTATAGGAAACATAAAAACCATTTTTGGAATTTTTGTGTGTCTGTCTGTGGGAGATAAACTGGGAAACTACTTGTCGGATTTTGATGCAGTTTTCACTGGTTACGCGAATTTTGAATTTTGAATTTTGAAATTTTGAATTTAAGCGAAGCTTGGGGCAACATCTAAGCTTTGTTTCATCTCAATCGGTTCACTGAAACATATGGGAGTTCTAAGATTAAAGCAGTGTAGTCGCAAACAGTTAGTTATCACAGTTATCCAAATACTTGACTAATTTGTATGGTGTTTTTGAAAGTATTCAAGATTTATTGTGTGCAACATTAAAGTTTTGTTTTATTTCAATTGGTTCACTCAAAAAAAAAAAGTTATGTGGATACTCACAAAACATAGGATCGTTTTTACGGGGTTTTTGACAGCGTGTCAGTACAACTTCCTCGCAATATTTAAGTATCGCAATATTTAGTAAGTTTGATTTACTTAAACAGAATATTTACGTTATTAGCTACTGGATCAATTGGAACGGTTTTTCTTTTTTTCAAATGACATAGTAGATCACAATACAAAAAATTACCTTCCATACAAAATGTACTATCAGTAATAAAATTATAACCACGATAAGGTGATTTCCAGGTGACCAGGAAGGTCCTGATTGCGTCACTCACTAGGTACGTGAAGTGCCAAAGAATAAATACGTCTTCTTTACATAGATTTTCATTGATGCCTACTATGTCGAACGAGTCAGGTCGTTCATGCCTTGCAGAAGATGATGGGCTCAATCACGGTAAAAGGTTCATTGCATTAGAACAAAACGTACTTCTACTAAAAGACTAAAAGTGTAGCCAGTAATTCGCAAGTATCATATCCAAGACCAAAAACAGTATCTGGCTTCCACAATAGTTACCCTTGGTCTATTTGTCAATTAGAACGTAGCAAATACATTCGAAATAGAAGGCATTTGCAATATTAAACGCGTAAAATACACGGTACGTTATTAATAACAGCTGAAAAATCCTTCCTCCATTTTTTGAAGGCCAGCTAATAGTCAAACGTTTTCGAAAATGTCACAGTGTTTAATTTTAAAATAAAATGCATTTTGTGTACTTGTTGCAGTAATATATAATAATAATAATGTTTGTTTATTACGTTAAGTATTTGTTTACATTTATCATATTCAGTGATTGATATATATATGTACATATACAACTCACAAAAAAATAAAAAAAATGTAAATGAAATAAATATAGCATATTGTACATATATAACTATAAGTAACCGTTTTCTATTATCATGTACATCGTAGGTAAATAGCGTTTTTGATGGGGTGTGAATGAGTGTGTTTATTTCTTTTTCTGCAATATTGACTCTGTCTCATCATCATTTAAAGGCAAAAGAAAATTAGTCAAAATTTGCTTACACTTTTTAAGTGTTTTGCTGTAGATGTCAAGCTTATTGTTTATTTTATTGTATAGATATCCTGAGGGATTTATATATTGATTTCTAGAAAATGCTGTTTTTGTTACCTTTAGACCAGTAATGAATCTTCTCTTGTTAAAACAAAACATGCTATGATCGTAGGTTATAATTTTATGTTTCCTCAAGACAGTGAGGAGAATGTAAAGTTTTTTCACTGATAGGACATTACTGTTGGAGTATAATCTATCCGTTGAAAATCTTCTCTGTTAAACGTGCATTACCTTTAGAAGAGCGCGTTGTGCACGTTCCACTTCTATCATCTTGGTTTTACACGCTCCACCCCAGATCGGAATGCAGAAAGGCAAGAGTGATTGTGCCAGCGCGGTATAGATTGCTTTAAGAATATTCCTACGGGAGTTCTGATCGATCAAATTCTTCCTAGGCATCACATGTCTTAAGGACTTGAATATCCGGATCAGTTTCCTTACTCTGTTAGTGACTTAATCAAGATGCGGATGCCAGGATAGTCTTTGATCAACCATCACCTGCAAGTACTTAGTTTTGTCGATTTTTTCAATAGAAGGACTCGAAGGAATCACAATCATCAGATCAAGACGAAATTACAAGAGTGAATTTTGAGTCTGAAATCAGGATTAAGTTGTGTGTCTTTTAAGATACTGTAACAAATATAATTTGTTTTGGCTGTTTAAGGTAAGAAGATTATCCTTCAACCATTTGGCTACAAATCTCATGCCTTCTTCTGCATTATTTTTAACAACACACCAGTTTTTCCCAGCGAAGACAATAGCTGTGTCGTCGGCGTATGATAAAATGTGAACATTATCAACTTTCAAACTACAGAGATCATTAATGTATATTAAGAACAGAGTAGGGCCCAACGCGCTTCCCTGGGGGACGCCGTACGTAACTGTGACACCATCACTGGTGTATTGATTCAGTTTCACCCGTTGCGTCCGATCAGAAAGATAACTTTTATAGAGAGAAAGTGCAGTGGCTCTTATACCAATTTAGTTTATTCAATAGTAATATAAATTATATTGGACGAAATTAGCATATTCTAGCTAAGCGGTGTTGCATTGTGGGGGGCATCAAGCACATTTGAACACCAACATCCTTCTGAAAACATTGAATTTTGTTAATTTTAATAAATACTAACTTTCAAATTTATTTCATTCGTACGTTCTTTTCTACGACTTATACAGTTAATAAAGAAAAAGGAAAATAATAAAATTATATTATATTTCATAAATTTTTTCTTAATTTACGAATAATTTAAATTAATACTTTATTCGTGATGGGGGTGTAAAGATGGTGTAGTATTAATGTTTTTTTTTTGTCGTTGATAAAACTTATAATCTGTTTATTTTTAAAATTGTTAAATTCTAATTTTAGTTTATAGGTTATTTCGAATAATATACAGTACTGGCTTACAAGTTTAGCCTTGTCGTTAAAAAATTCCCATGATTGATAAAATTGATTTTCTGTGTGCTAATTTCAATTAGTTGGATGATACTACAAAGATACATCGTTACTTTTGCTGACAAGTGTCATTTTTTTGTTTTATAAACCTTCGCTTAATCTGTTATTACCTGTTTAAATTGTTTTTCAAAACGCGAAAAATCTTTAAAAACCTAGTTCCTGATTGCAGAACCACCAACCGGGTGAGTTAGAACTAGGTAAAATCGAGTACCATAACAGGTACTCGATTTTACCTAGCCTGTTCCTTTTACTTAACAGTAACAGTGACAAATACCTGTTACAAAATAACAGCTTGTTATTTCATACTATGTTGTGACAATTTGTGTGACAGTTCATCAGTTCTTTATGGTCGTAAATATGAATAAACAAAAGCTTATAATAGCACATTATGAAACACTGTGTGGAACAGGAACTGTTACTTAAAGTTCGTAACAGGTACAGTCTGCCATCTCAAGATACCTGTTAACCTGTTATAATTACGTATTACGACTTACGATAAATACGCCTCACTCCTGATAGCGAGTTCATCTCCATACGTTTGGACTTTTAACATAGCGCCATCTATAGGATCCTTAATACAGCCAATAAATTTACCTTACACCGCCATCTGTTAGAATCTATGGAACTCACAGACGGTTTTTTTTGTTATAACCACGGTCTTTTCAGTCCATACATTTGATATTTGTATGGAGCTTGCTCATTCCGTTTAGTTCCATCCGTCAAAAAGAGATGGCGTTGTTTTAAATGCAAAACCATTTTAACTATGGTAGTACCATTATTTACTTAATTCAATAAAATACTTAAATTAATATTTTCTAAAAATACTAATTAAATATTTAAATTATCCTTATTATGAACGCGAAAGTTTGTATGTATGGGTGGATGTTTGTTACTCTTTCACGCAAATACTACTAAATGGATTCTAATTAAACTTTACGATAACATAGTTTATACATCAGTGATTCTCAGATCAGTTGCGGCACATATTAAACGATTTCAAAATTTGGCGGCACACAAAGAAAAAGATAAAAATATTTACTTACTACAACACACTGCATAAATAGTTTATGATAAATATTTTAAATATACGAATTAAACTAATATATATTACAATAATAACTAAACGTTTATTAAGGGATTAATTACAAGCTAATAATAAAAATATTTTAATGCGAAATTTGAGCTTGATGTTTTTTGAATTGAATTTCATTTATATTTGGTCGTAAAAATGACAATGCTACTCTCATATCGTCTTCTACATTTAACAATCTTGATCTTTTTTTAGTTTTAATGTTGGCTAATGCCAAAAAATAGTTTTATTTTTAAATGATATAATTTAATAATATTAACATTATTATATATTTGCAAAATTTGGCGGCACACTTTTGAAATTTGGCGGCACACAAAAGTGCCGCGGCACAGTGGTTGAGAATCACTGTTATACATCAAAATAACACAGGCTATAATTTATATACATATTTTATGTATATCTGTTTTTCTGTCTGAATGTTACCCCTTCAGTCTATTCTACGCATACGCGGACCAGATATATAAAAGTACTCTTTGACGCGGACGTAGTCGCGGGCAGCAGCTAGTTTCCAATAAAAAAATATTGCGACTATATTGAGCTGACTATAAACTATCGGCTATCCTTGGACCAAACAGCACACAGTGTGCAAAATTTGATTCAAATCGATTCAGTAGTTTAGGAATTCATCACGGACAAAAACGTGACATGAATTTTTTATGTATACAGCGTGTCGTTACCATCGTGACAATAAATGAACACACGTCTAACGCAAGTAGCCAATAAACAAAAAAAAAATATTAACATTAAACAAAATCCATAATTAAAAAAAATATTTTTCTACCAAACTAATTAAGTAAAAAAGAAACAAAATTTTTAACATCCTATACAACTCGCGCCACAGCGTCGTATTACAAGCCTCTGCTTCTAGCAGTATGTTTTGTCTCTTTTAAATTCATTCAACCCATTCATATGCTTTGTGACCTTTACAAATGAACTTTACGTTACGCTTTTATAGGTAAGTGTTCTAAAATTCTTTGTTTTGGAAAATTTAATAACTCTGTAAATATTGACGTTTAAAGAATTTAAATGTTTAATACAACTTTAAAAAGTTATCCCCTATATGTGTGTTCATTTATTGTCGCGATGGTAACGACACGCTGTATAAAGAAAGATTTAATTATAAATTATAGAAGTGTAACGATTTCTTTGAGTGCAGGAAATGGAATGGACATCTGCGGAAATACAACGGTCTCCCAAAATCATTAATTAAAGGTATTTTTAAGACTGAGCGAGGTAACCATAGAAAATTCACCATAGAAAATACAGTTTGTGAAGGTTCAATGTTTTAATACATAGGTGGTGAATTTATTTGCCATCTTCTTGCCTAATAAAAAGAATTAATTTACTGTCCCATTGCCCAGCAATTTAACAATCAACCTGCCATCTCAGTCCAATAAAAAGGGCTTTTTTATTGGTCTGAGCATGCAAAACGTTTTCTATTGGCGGTGTCCACACGTTTTCAATATATTTCAAAGGGAAACAAAAAAAAAAAGAACTGAACATATTTAAAATTTTTATTTCAGTGAACGAGCCGCAGTCTTGTTACATTTTGCTCCCAATTATTACTTTGAACAAATGATAACTAAGACACAAAACTACGAATGGACATATGATTATAACATGCATGTTAATGCTAATGGGTAAAGGCACTAAGTTTCCAAAATTGAGAAGTTCCATCATACACTTCCTTCGGGTATTCAAATATTATCAATTACACATAAATATAAAAGTGTATTCAACAGACCAAATCTGGCTCTGGAAAAAAATTACCGAAAACTTTTGTCATAATTTTTTTTTTAAATATATGACTAAAGATGGTATATAGTCAATCAGTATACATAAAATTCACTGATAAGAATCTAAGATTCACATTCTCAGGGGCAATATACTTAAGGTTACTGGTAATAATTAATTTATATAAAGAGAAGAAAAAAAAACTTAGGTCATCAAGTTAGAAGAATCCTCCCATTTCATTCTATACTAAAGTGAAATATTTCATCTTTCTAATTGCCTGCGGAGAGTTGAACAATACGGTCATTTATCTGTAGCAGTTCCGTCATATATTCCTGATCAGCCATTATGGTTGCCAGTTTCTTCAACACCGAGAGAAGCTCTCCATCCCTCAAGCGGAGTTGCTCGTTGCATTGTTCCACTTCACACACCACTTCGTCAGGTATCTGCAGAGTGAACTCACATTAGCATATAAATAAATAATAACATGATTCTTTCGTATTTAGCTATTAGCATGTTGATTGCCAACAATTTAAGAACTCTCAACTGTCTTTATGACTTTAAATATAGGACGAATAGTGGGAAGGCATACATCCATTTTTGTTTGGTACATCAGTGATTATTAAATTGTTTTATATGTTTACCCTACATTTTCCAGTATAAATTTAACTATGCCAAAATTTTTTATAAAAGTTACCTACCAAAGGGCTCTATCATAGGTTCATATGGCATATCATAATGGAGTATTTGTTACATCAGGATGTAATACTGCATTAAGTTACTGAATTGGATTCAATTCTATAATCAGATGAATATTATTATCTGACGATAATATATTTTCTGTTTGTAGATTGTGAACAATCATACAAATCTATTAATTGATATATTTTTACCTTTTGCAATTCCAAGAATGTTTCAAATTTCAATTTCTTCCTCTGCTTGCCATTGGTACTATCAAAGAACATGGTAAACTGCTGATCTTTAAGCTTCAATGGGAAATATACTCCAGCTGATAGACGGCCTTTAGGATCCCTTGCAAGCAAACTCCTGAAATAATTAAAAAAATTTTTTAGACAAGAAATTATCCAGTATATAACTAGTACCTACATCATTTTGCCTTTGCCATTGAAATAAAAAAAAGATATTTTTTCCCCCAATTCACCTCACTTTTATCCTCACATTTAAATTTTTACACCATCCATAGTTAATTAAAAACTTTGTTAGTCTATGATTTAATTTTTAATAGTTAATAATTATGTAATTTTTGTAATCATTACGAATTATATCATTAAGAATAATAATTCATCCATTATTACCGCTCTGTATTATTATTTTTTTTTATCTAAATACAAGTAAGATTTCTTTTTGATTTCATATTTTAGTTTATACGTTTTGTTTACCATTTTACATACCTCAAATCCCATACCAGGTTTCTCTTTTCTGTGACGCTAACGGCGGACAAATAGGCCCTGGCTACGTATACGAGTGATAAGCGTTCTTTGACAACGCTTCCCCTGGTCTCCCGCTCGTGCCATTCCACATAGTTGCTGTTCTGGATGTTGAACTTATAATTATACTCCTTGCGGCAGTGCGGCTCATCACTCTGTGTGAACCAACCTATCGGAACGTAAATTTTAGGTTATAATTTTTTTCCGATCTTGTTTTTGTTAATAATGTTATGTGATCATTCGATATGAAGTGAGATAAAAGATCTTACCGGTGTGTGGATAGCAACGATCAGCCATCACGGTCACGACACGGGATATGTGGTATCCCAAATCCGACAAGAAAACGCCATTTCTTCCCCCAACCTTTACATGTATGGCAACCATCACGTGATCCTTCTCAGTTTCAATAAGGAAGCCTTGAGGGCCCGGACTGGATGTCGTGTAGTCCTGCAAGTCTTGGATGTTCTCGTCGCACGATACCAGCATCATAGCCCTGGTGATCCCCGGGAAATCCCCCTCTAGGGCCCTCAAGCGCTTCATCACTTCCATTCCGAGGCCGACGCAGGTGTGCTTGTGGGCGCGGATCGGCGGTTTGTACTTCGGGAAGAACTCCTCTAGCGATTGTTCCGGCGACGCCATGTAAGAGTCGTAAAGTGTAAGGAAGTTGTTGACGGAATCGTAGTTCTCGGCGGCGACTAAGCGGCTCAGTATCGCCTCCGCCTTCGCGACGAGCTCCTCGTACTGCCTGAGGGTGAGTCGCAGAGGCGGGCGCGGCGCCCCCCACTTCGGCGGAGGCAGGGGGTGGTGGGCCGGCCACTGGGGCGCGGCGGGCGCGTGCAGGCCGGTGCCGAGTCAGCTCAACCACTCGGCGCCCCAGCGGCCCATGACGCGGCGTATGGCGCGCTCCTCGTTCGAAGTGGACGCCATGTCGGCGGGGGCCCGCGCGACCTCGGCGACCCCCGTGGCCCCCGCGCCGTTCGACGCCTCCGGAGACCACATCGCGTCCTTACTTAACGGTTTTATATTTAACGATTCTGCGAAAGAACAAGAACAATTAAGGTTAGCATGTCGTCTCAGTCGGTGCAATTAAGCCACGATTAGGCGAACATGGTTGCGGTTAGTCAAGTAGGTTAGTTAGTCACTATTTGTATGTTCCATATCGGGGCGTTTAAGGTTTATGCTCAGCCCATATCCTATAAAAAAGGTAAAGTAATGCTACCGTAAGGTTTATATTACAATATGAGAACCTTTCTTATTTGTGTGTCTATGGATTACTTCAAAGTTTTACCTAAAGTACTTAAGTACCCATCTTAACTATCTGTCGAAGCTAATACACATACTAGCTAACTAAGAGATACGGATTTTTCGTGTATAAAAGTTGGTACCCTAAGTTCTATTTTTAAATCATTTAGTTAGGTAAAGTCTTCAAAAATATCTAAATGATGATATTAATAAGAAGAAATTATTGGTAACTTGCAACTCCACAAAAATATGCTTTAATAAAATGTTTTCTGATTGTCTCTAGCTCTATTGTAGTATTTGTAATATAAAATGATTTGGTATTGATTTTATTCAATCTAAAACAATCATTAGATCAGACGCTGTGTATTAGGTATTCATTAATCATTGAAATGCGTCACATACGATCGGTCGCATGAATGCATACATATTTGCAATCATACGTACTCTTGGCTAAAAGGAACATCGCGTCATTTGAGGTAGGGCTCTCAATTTTCCATCAATAGTCAATTGCATTATCCAGCATTCAAACTAATTTGGAGATGGTAAGTAACCATTGCTCGGCCAGCAATATCTTAATAAATTAACAAATCGATATGCAGTCATGTCCAAAACTAGTAAAGGTTTCAATTTATTAGAACAATCAATAAAGTACGCTCTATCTGATTTATTATGGTCAAATGGCCAGCCAGGTCACACGATGGTCCGTTTGTTTTTATAGGTAAAGCGTACTGTGTAACTGATTGACATTATATTAGGCAATTTGTCAAAGCACCCGCCCAGAGTCAATGAAACAAGATGGCGCCCAAGGTCGTTCAAGGAAAAAATATAGGCAACATTGTTAATAAATACAGATAATGCACTCGGGAATTAAAACTACGTCCTATTGTGGTGCTAGTACCGTTAATACGAAAAATCCTTTTAGAATAGCAAAAAGATGCAGTAAGCAATTTAATCTATATCTTATAGCATTTTATTGGCGTAAGTAGTGTTTAAAAATCAGGATTCGAAATCTATGTTTAGCTAGGCTAATAAAAATCTTCAATGACGTGACGCAACTCTAGCTGATGACTCCGCACGTGTTTCCATGGGTAAATAAAGTTATCGTGAAAATTCAACACTGTTAGAAGATAATAGTCATTTGAAATGCAAATAAAGTTTTAATAATCCGCTTACAGAAGAAATGACAAACGTACGCAATAACAAACGTACGTAATAGAAATATTACAAACTATGCCATATTAAAAAATCGTATGCAAGGATCTGCAAGGAAAAGATACAAAGCGAGAAGTTATTTATTGTGTAGTTTTACTAAATATTACTAATGCTTTTACACTTAATCCGTTTATAAACAATCTGGCAGAGAATTTGCTCTATTGCAGAACGAAACGTTAAATTTATTACAGCATATATGTACGAAATAAATGGTTACGTACCCATTTCTCTGGCTGTAAGCCGGGGTCGAAGCGAAGATGTGCTCTAAATAAGACTTTCTTTGTTTACTTCTGGAATGAAACTGGTACTTTCAGCGTTCGCACGGCGTATATAAACCGTCGTTTCCGTTTGGCTTCCTCCCCCCTCGACCTCCAAACTCCCCTTCTGCGTCATTCACATTGCACGCGCGTGTGTGCGTTATTCGCGACTGCGTTCCGTGTAAACTTTGCAGAAGTGTGAGTCACGGCGTCAAAACAAAACGCACACACGTGTATATGTTTATACCGTATGTATTTGCATGTGTGAAGAGTTTACATAGCGAAATAACTTCACACTCGCAGTGTTATTAAAAATGTAGATTATTATCGTTACTGCCAATACCCATGCGTGCTACTTTATGTACTTAAATATTATAGGTGATGAATTGTACAGCGTATCGTTACCATCGCGACAATAAATGAACACACGTCTAACGTTACATGCCAATAATCATAAAAAAGTATTAACGTTAAAAAAACCATAATTAAAAAAAAATATTATTCAAACAAACTAATTAAGTAAAAAAGAAACAAAATTTGTAACACCTATACAACTACAAATGACTGATTCATACATTCAGAGACTTTTTCATTTGTTGCCACAGCGTGACATTACAAACCTCACCTTCTAACAGTATGTTTTGTCTCTTTTAAATTCATGCCGAGACGTGGTCTCTCACTATGGGCCTCATAAGGAAGCTCGCGGTCGCACAGCGCGCTATGGAAAGGGTAATGCTTGGGGTTTCTCTACGAGATCGAATCAGAAATGAGGAGATCCGTAGAAGAACTAGAGTTACCGACATAGCGGCAGGGCACATAGCTCGAAGAACCGATGGCCGTTGGGGCAAAAAGCTTCTCGAGTGGAGACCACGTGACGGCAAACGCAGCGTAGGAAGGCCTCCCACAAGGTGGAGGGACGACCTAGCCAAGATCGCAGGGACGCGTTGGATGCAGGCCGCTAACGACCGGTCGAAGTGGAAGTCAATGGGGGAGGCCTATGTTCAGCAGTGGACGTCCTACGGCTGATATGATGATGATGATGATGATGAAATTCATTCAACCCATTCATATGCTTTGTGACCTTTACAAATGAACTTTACGTTACAGTTTTATACGTAAGGTTGTTCTAAAATTGTTTGTTTTGGAAAATTTAATAACTCTGTAAATATTGATGTTTAAAGAATGTAAATGTTTAATACAATTTTAAATAGTTATCCTCTATATGTGTGTTCATTTATTGTCGCGATGGTAAAGACACGCTGTATATTATACCGTACATTGTTTCATGTAAACATGTTTATCATCGTATATTTATGATTTTGGAGTGTATTATAATAACATCCAAGTAAAAAAATTTATTAAATGCACAATCGATATACAGCGTGTCCTTACAACCGCGACAATAAATGAACACAAATATAGAGTATAACTTTTTAAAACTGTATTAAGCATTTACATTATTTAAACATTAATACTTACCGAGTTATTAAATTTTACATAACAAACATTTTAGAACACCCTTACGTATAAAACTGTAACGTAAAGTTCATTTGTAAAGGTCACAAAGCATATGTATGGGTTGAATGGATTTAAAAGAGATAAAACATACTGTTAGAAGGAGAGATTTGTAATGCCACGTTGTGGCAACGAATGAAAAAGTCTTTGAATGTATGAATCAGTCAGTTTTAGTAGTATATTTTTTATGATTATTGGCAAGTAGCGTTAGACGTGTGTTCATTTATTGTAACGACACGCGGTTGTAACGACACGCTGTATATAAACAACAAAATAATTACCTCAGAGCTATTTAGGCATAATTTAATACATTTTCTAATGTTATGTTATTTATACAATGTGACATTTTCTCTATATACAAAAGTACTCTGTACATATGCTGACTTTGTTGTAGCGAATCAATTGGCCGTTATTATTTTTATTATTGCTATTAATTTGTAAATACGTGTTTGGATCTCCCTTAAGCTAGAAATACAAAAGTAAGCGTGGAATTTATAAGTCTGTTCGTTCCCTTCCAGAGTCTGTGGTCTGTAAAAAATTTCAAAGGTTTAATAGTTAGTAATAACGTCGCATAACGTTATATCCGTCCAGGTTATATTTCGGAAATTCCCGCGACATAAAACCAGGTCACGGCCCCGTTAGAGCATTACACATATTTTGATACGTTTTCTTACTAGTTAACATGTCAATACTTGAGTCGCGACAATGATGACAAATTAAAATTAATTAAGTATACTCGTTAGTACACTGTAGGACATACCTTGCGCAATTTAGGTAAATTTAGCTTACCCACACAATATCAGATTGAGGATGGGTCAATTTACTCAGCTCTAAGTGTGGTAGGGCCACGCTGCAGCCTCGGCTGTTGCACGAATCGGCAGGCCTGTGCGGGTAAGTACCACGACCTCACAGAAGACCAGGGTAAAGAGGAAGTATGACAAATACTTTCGCGTTTCGTCTGGTGAGTGAGGTAGCCGGAGCCCAATTTTCAAAAGGTTGTCAACGCATCTGTAACCCTTGTGTGTAGTAGATGTCCATGGGCGGCGGTATTCACTTACCATTAGGTGAGCCGTCTGCTCGTTTGGCAAATTTTCACATAAAAAGAGTGTGCGTATATACTACCTAACCCAGGTATTTAAAAGTACTCTAACCGGCTTAAGACTGCCGGCAATTTGACCGTTATTGCGCCGGAATAGAGTCTATGATTGTGTGATTAAAAAGAACTGTATACGCTAGCGTCTATAGTGTCTGATGAAAATAGTCGCGATCGATATTTAGGCGAGCCTGGATACAATGGCGACCTTCGGATCAATACTTTATGTACGGTGACCACAATTCGTTTACAAAAAATGGGACAACATAAAACGTAATGGTACACATCTTCGATGTTCCTGCATCATTCGCATTTTAAGGGTTAAAACTATAAAGTGAAACAGTAAAGTAGGCCTATACATGTGCCACTGCTGGGCAAAGGCATCCTCTGTACAGTGGGTATTAGGACATAGTCCACCACGTGGCCCCACTGCCGAGTGGCGGACTAAACATATCTTCGAAATATTTTTTTTATATTATAGTTATAATTTAGAAAATATGCAGGTTCCCTCACGATGTTTTCCTTCACCGCTGAGCACTGTATCTAATTTCATTCTTTCTTTATGGAATGTCCTGCAATAACATAAAGTGATATCACCTGCTTTCGTGGAAGGCGTGGTGACTGTATAGTCGTTAGCGGGTGGAGATTTCTCGAAACGTGACGTAGTTTCTCGAAACGCGATTCAGGGGAGCAGACGCTCCGCGTTAGCTGGAATAACAATTGCATAATGATTATATTGAACGTTACTCGTTTCTTGTCCTGTCCTATAAATAAATAGTACCTATCTTAAGTACATAGATAGAGTGAAATTCCCTTGATCTTTCAGCAAAAGTATGTTTATCAGTTTTCTAGTACCCATAGTACAAGCGTTGCTTACTTTGGGACTAGAAAATGTTGTGTAAAAATGTGTCGTATAATATTTATTTATTTTTCTCGCCACTATCTTTGATGACATGGAGGCGCAGTTGCTAAGCTTTTCGCTTTGGCTACGGGGTGTTGGGTTCGATTTCCACACGCGACAAGTAATTGTGTGCCCCACAGATAATTGTCGCGGTTCTAGTTGTTTGTTCCCAAGGATGGTTGACGGGTTGGAGGCACGTGACCAGTAGTACAAAAACGTAGTAAAAACCTTTTACAACATGATTTATGTGTAGCAACCCTCCTAGGTGGGATATGGGCAGGAGGATGATGGTTTCTAAGCTGAACAATACATATTGAAACGTTTCTGCAATTGCTTTCTGTCGTTCTTATGTTTGAAGTAGTATACCGATAGATTTTACAATAAAGATTAATTTAAGACGTATGTAATTATTTATTTATTAATAATTATATCATAATGATGTATATGAGAATAAACAAAGACCAAATGGAAACTCATATCGCGGTATACTATAGAAATGTCTACAACAGTTGAAATCCAGCCAACGGAATATCTTTAATATTTTTATATTTCAGGCAGTACTTTCTGCTGCTGCTACTGCTTTCCTTAGAAAATATTAAATCGCATCTTATCTGGAGAGTGGTACTTCTGAAGACTTTTCTGAGACTTCTTGCAAAGAGAATGTAATCACTACGTTTACTTCTTGAAAGATGTCAGTGCGGTTTCTAAATTTATTTTGACTTGTTGTCAAAATAAGTTTAGAAACCGCACATTTATGAATTTATTTCATTTTTAGATAAAAATAATTTATTGTTATTGAAAATAAAAGGCTTTGGGACACAATGACATTACCTATATGCAAAAACCAAGTAGATATGACACTAGCGCACTCACTGAGGAACTGAAATTACGCCAATTGGTGTAATTTGAATGCCTCAGTTAACTAATAATATATGCACATATTTCAACACGCCGTAATAATTTGCAACCTTTATAATTACACCATAAAATAATGTTGACCATTTAAATAATATGAGAATAATGTTAGGTATGCATCACACAAAACGTTCGATCTCAACGGGTTTCTTAGACGTTGCTTGTGTTAATCACTATTAGATTTATTTTAGTAAATTTTTAACCGACTTCAAAAAAGGAGGAGGTTTCTCAATTCAACCGTATATATTTTTATTTTTTATGTGTGTTCGTGGATAACTTCGTCGCCTATTAACCGATTTTGATGATTATTTTTTTGTCGGAAAGGAGATATCCCAAGGGTGGTACCATGATAAAGAAACCCGTATCTGATGATAGCATCCCAGAGAAATCGAGGGCCGTCATTGAAAGTTATATTTATAAAAAATTTCTGATTGAAATCGGTTTTTTTTTTTGTTAAAAATTATACTTGTTGTATTAAGATTTTCAATTGTTAAACGGCATCGATACGATGACATATGGATTTGATTTATTATTTAGATCTCTT